ATAAGGCATAATGTACACCATTTAAAACTGTGTCTCAAATCATCTGTGGTGAAGGATCATTTTGTTTGCTTCTTTGTTTTTAATTTTCAGTGCTTTGTTATTCTTAATTTGAGTTGTGGAATGGTAACATTTTTCCTAATGACCTTAGTTTGTAGACCACATTTAGAGTAACACTGATTTAAAATACTGTCTGGGGCAAATAAATGTAAGATCTTTCTGGCATATCAGAGTTGGTGCTTACACTCACACTTCTCAGAAAAATATGTAAATAATACTAATAGTACTGCAAAGTAATTGGCCATGATTCCTGACTTTTAAATGTTTGTTACTCTAGGAGGACATTATTTTACGAAAAAAAATTTGTTGGGTAACTTTCTGTAAGACACTGCTTGGTGCTAGTAAAGTAGCACCAATATAGTAAAAAGATGTATATGGAAAAATAGTGACTAAAAAGTGGTAAATAGGAGTGCTTATAAAGGGATGAAGTGATCATTTAGCTCTTGATTGGTTGAGTTTAAAGTCTTTGTAGAAGAGGATGAGAGTATTTTGCCAGATACTTCATTATTTTATGCAAGCCTGCGTGAGCACAGAGTGGCTCATGCCTGTAATCGCCGCACTTTTCGAGGCTGAGGTGGAAAGATCACTTGAGCCCAGGAATTCAATACCAGCCTGGGCACCACAGTGAGACCCTGTCTCTGAAAGAAAAAAAAATTGAATTAAAACCTTAAAAAGGCCAGGACAGTGCCTCACACCTGTAATCCTAGCACTTTGGAAGACTGAGGCAGGTGAATCATTTGAGCTCAGGAGTTTGAGACCAGCTTGGGCAACAGGCGAAACCCTTACTCTACAAAACATACAAAAAAAATTAACCAGGTGTGATGGCGCATGCCTGTGGTCCCAGCTATTCTGAGAGGCTGAGGTGGGAAGACTGCTTGAGCCTGGAAATTGGAGGTTGTACTGAGCTGATAGTGTGCCACTGCACACCAACCTGGGTGACACAATGAGACGTTGTCTCAAAGCAAAATCTTAAGCCTCACATTCTTTGAGAGAGAAAATATTGTTATTTTATACATTTTATAGATAACAGACCACAGTAAATAAGTGGAGCTAGAATTCAAACTGGGGTTTTCTGACTTTATAAATTGTATTTTCATATGTAAGGCTTTCATAGAGAGAACAAGAAATGGGAAGCATTTCGGCAGTTAGACAAAAAATTTGGTAGTTGGGGACTAAGTAGATATGCAGAAAGGCATGATAGATAAAAAGTGGATTCTTAAGAAAATTAATCTGGTCTTAATATGTAGGTTTAATTGAAGCAACTAAGTAGGATAGATTTGTTGTGGCTAATGGATTATCTTCTACTGTGAGTATTATAGAATGTTCTTGTCTTTCACTTACGTTTTGGCTTTTAGCTGGTTCTGCTATGTAAGGTAGTATTTATGGAAATTTTTCTGGGAAAATACTAGCTGTCTTTTAGAAAAATAGCATGTAGAAAATATCTGATTCATGTCAGAAAGTCATGTAAAAATGTTTACAGTATATGAATTGCTTATACAGAATAGGTTTTTAAGACTCCCATTATATACGATTTTTGTTGATATTTAAGTTATTCTTAGTTTTTTCCTCATATTTATACCTTCTAACTCTTCTGTGGCTCTTATCTTCTACTCTTCCATAATAATTTTGTCCTCTACTGATAGCCTAGCATACTTTTTTTTTTTGCAGGATGGAGTGCAGTGGTGCGATCTTGGTTTACTGCAACCTCTGCCTCCTGGGCTTAAGTGATTCTCCTGCCTCAGCCTCCCAAGTATCTGGGACTACAAGCAGATGCCACCACTCCTGGCTAATTTTTGTATTTTTAGTAGAGACAGGATTTCATCATGTTGGCCAGGCTGGTGTTGACTCTGACCTCAAGTGATCCTCCTGCCTTGGCCTCCCAGAGTGCTGGGATTACAGGTGTGAGCCACCGCACCTGGCCTCCTAGCATACTTTCTATACTACTGTTCTAGAAATGCTCCTGAAAACCACTACCCTGTAGTTTTTTAGCAGGCAGTTCCATGGCCTTCTTAAATAAGTAGTTATATTTCCCCCCATCTTCCATGGGAATATTTTACTTACCTGCCTCTTATTTTTCCACCTTAGAAAAAGAGGAGTCCAGCTGGGTGTGGTGGCTCGCTTACACTATTGGTTAATTCCAGCACTTTGGGAGGCTGAGGCAGGTGTATCATCTGAGGTCAGGAGTTTGAGACCAGCCTGACCAACATGGTGAAACCCCATCTCTTCTTTTATTTTTTCTTTTTTTGAGACGGAGTTTCGCTCTTGTTACCCAGGCTGGAGTGCAATGGCGTGATCTCAGGTCACCACAACCTCTGCCTCCTGGTTTCAAGCAATTCTCCTGCCTCAGCCTCCCGAGTAGCTGGGACTATAGGTGTGCGCCACCATGCCCAGCTAATTTTTGTATTTTTAGTAGAGATGGGGTTCATCTTGTTGACCAGGATGGTCTTGATCTCTTGACCTTGTGATCCACCCGCCTCGGCCTCCCAAAGTGCTGGGATTACAGGCGTGAGCCACCGCACCCGGCCTGAAATCCCATCTTTTCTAAAAATACAAAAAAAATTGGCCAGGCATGGTGGCTTATGTCTGTAATCCCAGCACTTTGGGAGGCCGAGGCAGGCGGATCACCTGACATCAGGAGTTTGAGATCAGCCTGACCAACATAGAGAAACCTCATCTCTACTGAAAATACAAACTTAGCTGGGCATGGTGGCGCATGCCTATAATCCCAGGTACTCTGTAGGCTGAGGGAGGAGAATCGCTTGAACCCAGGAGGTGGAGGTTGTGGTGAGCCGAGATCACGCCATTCCACTCCAGCCTGGGCAACAAGAGCAAAACTCCATCTCAGAAAAAAAAAAAATTAGCCGGGCATGGTGGGGCATCCCTGTAATCCCAGCTGCGTCGGGAGGCTGAGGCAGGAGAATCACTTGAACCCAGGAGGCGGAGTTTACAGTGAGCTGAGATTGCACCATTGCACTCTACCCTGGGCGGCAAGAGTGAAACCATGTCTCAAGAAATAGAAAAAAGGAAAGAGGAGTCCTAGTTGGGTTTACAAGACTAACCTCTTCATAATATGTCCTATTTCTAGTCATTATTTGCTCCTTAGTACTCTCTTGCCTCAGTGGCTTTGTATAACTGTTCCCATCTGATTATAAAAATGCCTAGAATGGCCGGGCCTGGTGGCTCACTAATCCCAGCACTTTGGGAGGCCAAGATGGGCAGATCTCGAGGTCAGGAGTTCGAGAGCAGCCTGACTAACATGGTGAAACCCTATCACTAATAAAAATACTAAATACTAATACTTAATTAAAACTACTGAAATACAAAATACTAAATCTACTAAAAAGACAAAAATTAGCCAAGTGTGGTGGCGTGCACCTGTAGTCATAGCTATTGGAGGCTGAGGCCAGAGAATTGCTTGAACCCGGGAGGCGGAGGTTTCTGTGAACCAAAATTATGCCACTGCACTCCAGTCTGGGTGACAGAGCGAGACTCCGTCTCAAAAAAAAAAAAGCATAGATTGTCACCATCATTTAAAAAAATACTTTTATACTCTTTACGAGTCCTTAGTGTCCAGCAACTGCTTACTTTTAGTAGTAAATGTCTTAAGTAAGGGATTAGTACTGCTTTCCTTTCCCTACCATCTGTTCTGTATAGCTCTCTCTAATCTGTTGTCTGTGCATGTCACACTATGGAAACTGGTCTGGAAAGTTATGAATGTCTCCTGATCAACAGCTATATTCTCTTGCAGTTTAAAGGTACTACAAAAGCTTATTGATGTTTTTGTTTATTTTATCCCATCCTTATACTTTTTCTATTGTTAATAGATATTTGTGAAAACAGAAGGACCACTAATTCTAGTTCATGCTTTTTTTTTTTTTTTAAATAGCGGTGGGGTTTCTCCATGTTGGCCAGGCCGATCTCGAACTCCTGACCTCAGGTGATCCGCCCACCTCAGCCTCCCAAAGTGCTGGGATTACAGGTGTGAGGCACCGCGCCCAGCCCATGCTTTTTTTTTTTTTTTTTGAGACAGAGTTTCGCTTTTGTTACCCAGGCTGGAGTGCAATGGTGCGTTCTCAGCTCACTGCAACCTCCACCTCCTGGGTTCAGGCAGTTCTCCTGCCTGAGCCTCCTGAGTAGCTGGGATTACAGGCACGCGCCACCATGCCCAGCTAATTTTTTGTATTTTTAGTAGAGACGGGGTTTCACCATGTCGACCAGGATGGTCTCGATCTCTTGACCTCGTGATCCACTCGCCTTGGCCTCCCAAAGTGCTGGGATTACAGGCTTGAGCCACCGCGCCTGGCTTTTTTTTTCTTTAACTTTTCCATGGCTTCTAAAACACAGTGAAAATGATATACTGAAACAGTAAATTATTGATCTGTACCAGATTTGTAATTGTGTATTTTATTACTGTTTGAAGTATAAAGTAATGGTTCTATATCATTTGTTAGGAAGGTTGAATTTCCATTGCTTTAAAATATTCAAATTTTTTTGTATGGATTTAGCTCCCCTTTTCAAAATTTCCTTTTGATGAAGTCATTGACTAAACCACCATTAAAACAAACCAAAAAAAGAATTAAAAAAAAAAACACTTAAAATTTCTTTTGAAAGGTGGGAAGGGATACCTGCTGTCATTTTATAGGTAGAACACTAAAACACAGAAAATTACTGGCCTCTTACTTGGTGATTTGTTTTTTTTTCTGCCTTGCTCTGGTGTTTTTGTTTATAGTTTTTATGAGTTGTAATTTGTTTATTTTTGTTAGGTGTATAGATACACTATTTTGGATGTCATATTTAACAGGGAAAGCATAGAGTCATGGGCCTGAATACCTATCAAGTATAAAGAAATCAAATACTTATAAGTTAGCTGAAGTGACTTCGATTTCAATGTTATATTTTAAAGTCTAGGTTATTTTACTAAAAAGCATTTTTTTTTTTTTTAGCTTGTCAGCTCATTTGCAGCTTACATTTACTGGCTTCTTCCACAAAAATGGTATGTACTTAAAAGTAAACATTGTGGCATTTTAACAGCAAAATGCCTTTGTGAAAAAAAAAAAGTGGGGCTTCTGAGTGTGAATTTACAAAATTATGTTTAATGGAAAAGATATTGATTCTGATGTTTTTGAGCTTTAAGTTATAAAGACTACTGATGAACATTGTCTTAGAACTGCAATAAGTAAAGATTCTCCTCAGTAGACCCCTTTCTGCATAAACATTTTGAATGAATGCAATTGTATCATGTTTAAAAAAGAAAACACAGTAAAACAACTGAAATAACCGCTATTACCCATGGCATATGTTAATATTTTAGATATTATTCAAAGGAAATTATATAGTGTATTACTCCAATAAAAGCTCAAAGCGTGCTGGAAAAGACTTGTTTTAAAAATGGAAAAATACTTATATCAGCTTGTCCATCATAAATCTATATACTGTATATCCTTTTAGTCTCATGCAATAGAATAAAACCATTATTAGAAACATGCCAGGTTGGTTATTTTGGTATTGTTTAGTAAGAAAGATTAAAAAATGAAGCCTGGTGTGGTGGCTCATGTTTGTAATCTTAGCACTTTGCGAGGCTGAGGTGGGAAGATGAGGCCAGGAATGCAAGACCAGCCTGGGCATCAGACCCCATCTCTACAAAAATACAAAAATTAGCTAGGTATGGTGGCATGTACTGTAGTTCTAGGTACTTGGAAGACCAAAATGGCAGGATTGCATAAGCCCAGGAATTTCAGTGAGCTGTGGTCACACAACTGTACTCCAGGCAGGGCAACAGAGTGAGAGACCCCGTCTCAAAAAAATACAAAACATTAGACTGCGTATGGTGGCTTACAGCTATAACATCGACACCTTGGGTGGCCGAGATGGAAGGATTGCTTGAGACTAGTCTGAGCAACGTAGGGGGACCCTATCTGTATGAAGTAAAAAAAAAGATTGACTGGGTACTGTGGCACATGCCTGTAGTCCCAGCTATTCTGTAGTCAGCTACTCAGGAGACTGAGCCAGGAGGATTGCTTGAGTCTTGAAAGTCGAGGCTGCAGTGAACCAAGATCATACCACTATACTCCGGCCTGGGTGACAGAGTGAGACCCTCTCTAAAAAAGACAAAAAACTTTACCAATTGTCAAGCTGCTCTAATATAACCATTTTAAAAAATTAGTCTTTGGGGTATTTTTCTTGTTGTTGTTTTGTTCTGAGACAGGGTCTTGGTCTGTTGCCCAGGCTGGAGTGCAGTGGTGTAATCAACTCCTGGGCTCAAATGATCCTCTTGCCTCAGCCTCCTGAGTGACTGGGACTACAGTTGTTGCCACCATGCCTGGCTAATTTTTAAAACATTTTTTTGTGAGATGGAAACTTACTACATTTCCCAGGCTGGTCTCAAACTCCTGGTCTCAAGTGATCCTGTCACCTCAGTCTCCCAGAGTGCTGGGATTACAGGTGTGAGCCACTGCGCTTTGTTGAAATAATTTCTATTATAACTTTGAAACTAGTAGAATTTGGAAGTAGATATATTGGGTTTCTTTTCCATCCAAGGTTTATTTGTATCTTTTTTGTTTTTAAAAATATTTTTAAGAAACCAGGATAGAAAACCAACATCAAGTTCTCTAAAATGTGCCAGGTGTAGTGATGCTTGCCTGTAGTCCCTGCTGCTTAGGAGGCTGAGCTGGGAGGATTGCTTGAGCCCAAGTGTTTGAATAGAGCCTAGGCAACATAATGGGACCCTCTGTCAAAACAAGCAAAAAAGGCCGGGCGCGGTGGCTCAAGCCTATAATCCCAGCACTTTGGGAGCCCAAGGTGGGTGGATCACGAGGTCAAGAGATCGAGACCATCCTGGTCAACAAGGTGAAACCCCGTCTCTACTAAAAATACAAAAATTAGCTGGGCCTGGTGGTGCACGCCTATAGTCCCAGCTACTCAGGAGGCTGAGGCAGGAGAATTGCTTGAACCCAGAAGGCGGACATTGTGGTGAGCCGAGATCGTGCCATTGCACTCCAGTCTGGGTAAACAACAGCGAAACTCCGTCTCAAAAAAAAAAAAACAAGCAAAAAAGGTTTTAAATTCTTAAAATGTGATTTTTTTTTTCTTTTTCTTATTATTTTTTTTTTTAGACAGGGTCTTGCTCTATCACCCCGGCTAGAGTACAGTGAACAGTCTCAGTTCATCGCCGCCTCCGCCTCCCAGGCTCAAGCGATCCTCTCACCTCAGCCTCCCAAAGTGCTGAGATTACAGGCAGGAGCCACTCTACCCAGCGGTTTTTTTTTTTTGTTTTTTTTTTGAGATAGAGTCTTGCTCTGTTGCCCAGGCTGGAGTGCAGTGGTGCAGTCTTGGTTCACTGCAACCTCAAGCGATTCTCTTGCCTCAGCCTCCTGAGTAGCTGGGACTACAGGCATGTGCCACCATGCCCAGCTAATTGTTGTATTTTTAGCAGAGAGAGGGTTTCGTCCTGTTGGCCAGGCTGGTCTCAAACTTGTGACCTTGTGATTCGCCAGCTGTGGCCTCCCAAAGTGCTAGGATTACAGGCTTGAGCCACCATGCCTGGATTTTTTTTTTTTTTTTTTAAGACAGAGTTTCACTCTTGCCCAGGCTGGAGTGCAGTGGCGCGATCTCAGCTCACTGCAACCTCCGCCTTTCGGGTTCAAGCAATTCTTCTGTCTCAGCCTCCTGAGTAACTGAGATTACAGGCATGCGCCACCACACCCGGCTAATTTTGTATTCTTTGAGATGGTGTTTCACTATATTGGTCAGGCTGGTCTCCAACTCCTGACCTCAGGTGATCTGCCCGCCTGGGCCTCCCAAAGTGTTGAGATTACAGGCGTGAGCCACCTCACCCAGCCAACATTGGATTATTTTTTGCTGTATTAAAGTGTTTTTATCCTGGATGCAGCTTCCAAATACACTGATTAGTTGTGCTTTATACACACACCCCAAATAAGAATGTTTTTAAGTAGAAGAAAAATGTTGCCAGCCAGGCATGGTGGCTCACACCTGTAATCCAGCACTTTGGGAGGCTGAGGCAGGTGGATCACTTGAGGTCATGAGTTCAAGACCAGCCTGGCCAACATGGTGAAACCTCATCTCTAGTAAAAAAAAAAAAAATTAGCTGGGTGTGGTGATGGATACCTGTAGTACCAGCTACTTGGGAGGCTGAAGTGGGGAGGATTGCTTTAACCTAGGAGGCAGAAGTCGCAGTGAACCACAATCACATCACTGCACTCCAGCCTGGGTGACAGAGCAAGACTCTGTCTCAAAAAGAAAAAAAGAATTAAAGAAAATATATATATGTATAAAGGTATATATAAGGTACAAATATTCACACACACATATATATATACATATATATAATAGAAATGTATATATGTTTTTTAGAGATAGGATCTCACTCTTTCACCCAGACTGGAGAGCAGTGACAGGATCATAGGTCACCTCGAACTCCTTGGCTCAAGAGATTCTTCCACCTATCTTCTGGAGTAGCTAGAACTACAGACACATGACACCCCCCACACCCAGCTAATTTTTTTGGCATTTTCTAGAGACGAGGGCTCTGTGTTGCTCAGGCTGGTCTTGAAATCTTGGCCACAAGTGATCATCCTGCCTTGGCCTCCCGAAGTGTTGGGATTATAGGCATGAGTCACTGTTCCTGGACAGTGAATATTTTTTATACTTTTAATCTGGGCATGGTGGGTGGCTCATGCACATAATCCCAGGTACCTAGGAGGCTGAGGTGTCAGGATCACTTGGTCCCAGGAGCTTGTGATTATAGTGAGCTGTGATTGTGCCCCTGCACCGAACCTTGGACAACAGAGCACAACCTGTATCTAATGGAAAAAAAATTGCAGCATCTAGGACGGCAATTATATTTGTCTTGTGAATGGTTTATTTAGACTATATATAAAGGCTTTTAAAGAGTTTGTCGTAAGTTTGGAACTGATTTGAGGAAAAAAGAATGAGTGAACTTTTTTTTTTTTCCTGAGACGAAGTTTCATTTTTGTTGCCCAGGCTGGAGTCCAGTGGCGCAATCTCTGCTCACTACAATCTCCACCTCCTGGGTTCAAGCAAGTCTCCTGCCTCAGCCTCCCAAGAAGCTGGGATTATAGGCATGCGCCACCACACCCAGCTAATTTTGTATTTTTAGTAGAGATGGGGTTTCTCCATGTTGGTCAGGCTGGTTGAGGTCCCCCGACCTTAAGTGATCCCACCTGGCTCTGAGAAAAACGAGTAAACTTTTAAGATGTCTTTATTATGGGAAGTCTCTGTTTCAAATTTCCTGACTTATTAACAAAATGAATACTATGTTTTTATATATATATATATATATATATGTATAAATATTTTTAAAAATACTGATTTTTCTATTTAGATAAGCCATCACAAAACTCAGAAAATGAACAAAATTCTGTTACCCTGGAAGTCCTGCTTGTGAAAGTTTGTCACAAAAAAAGAAAGGTAATGTCAATAAAATGATATTTCTAGATTAAGTGGAATAATTTGCTTAACTGGACATGTTTATGCATATATATTTTAAAGGTGAATTTTAAATTTTAAAAGCTTAAGAAATACGTAGATGGCCAAATTCTAAAACCGATAACCTCTTTTGCTAACCTCCCATATCTGTGTAGTTTTTCTAGTCTTTAAAGTGTCTGTATAAAACTTTCTGCTGTAGGAGTCTGAAAATGGAGAAGCTATTTTAACATCTCGTGGAATCAATTCAGTTGCTTTCCTACCATTTCAATCTCTTGGCTTATTTCCTAGCTATTTGTACCCATTGACATTTTAGATAAGGGCTAAGACAGTCTTTTTCATAAGATTATTTTTTGTAAGACTTCTCTCAGGCAAAGAAATTCTGTTGTCAGCATCATTAACCGTTCATTTATTAATACATTGCTTCATTTTTTTTTTCATTTTTGACAGAGTCTCACTCTGTCGCCCAGGCTGAGTACAGTGGTGTGATCTTGGCTCACTGTGCCCTCTTCCTCCTGGGTTCAAGCAATTCTCCTACCTCAGCCTCCCAAGTAGCTGGGATTATAGGTGCATGCCACCACACCCGGGTATTTTTTTGTATTTTTAGTAGAACCCGTCTCTACTAAAAATGCAAAAAGTACCCGGGTGTGGTGGCATGCACCTGTAATCCTAGCCACGGTGAAACCCCATCTCTACGAAAAATAGAAAAAGGATGGTCTTGATCTCCTGACCTCATGATCCGTCCACCTCAACCTTCTAAAGTGCTAGGATTACAGGCGTGAGCCACCATGACCGACCACTTCAGATTTTTATAAGGTGAAGTTATTTCATCGTAAAAACAAGTATTATGATGTTTCCTGGTCAGTGCATCAAAGCCAACACATATACCTTTAGTCCCCTAGTGTTTTCAAGAGAAGGAACTGGCCTGGGTCCAGGGTCCCAGTGCAGATACTCTTCCAAGACCACAGGCCACAAGGGCCTCAAACATTGGGAGGGAGTAGACCAAGGCACTCAGAGGCAGCAGCGGAACTTTATCTTTTAAAGTTTATGTTGGGTGCTGTGGCTCACGCCTATAATTTCAGCACTTTGGGAGGCTGAGGCGGGCAGATCACCTGAAGTTGGGAGTTAGACACCAACCTGACCAACATGGAGAAACCCTGTCTCTACTAAAAATACAAAATTAGCTGGGCGTGGTGGCGCATGTCTGTAATCCCAGTTACTCGGGAAGCTGAGGCAGGAGAATCACTTGAACCCACGAGGTGTGGAGGTTGTGGTGAGCTGAGATGATGCCATTACACTCCAGCCTGGGCAACAAGACCAAAACTGTGTCTGAAAAAAAAAAGTTTATGTAAAGGCTGGGCGCTATAGCTCACACCTATAATCTTAAACACTCTGGGAGGCAGAAGTGGGCAGATTGCTCGAGCCTAGGAGTTCAGGCAGCCTGGTGCAAGGTGTCGAAACCCTGTCTCTACCAAAAATTAGCTAGGCATGATGGTGTGTGCCTGTAGTCCCAGCTACTCAGGAAGGATACTTAAGCCCAGTAGGTCGAGGCTGCAGTGAGCTGTGATTGTGATTGCACCACTGAGCTCCAACCTAGGCCACAGAGTGAAAACATAGATTTGAAAAAAAAATGTATGTAAAGTTAGTAAATATCTCTCCTTACTCCTACCTATCCCCCAGACACATTACACAAGCACTGTATACATTACAGTAAGTGGTGATATGAAAATCTAAGATACATTAGTTAGAATAAAATATGAATATAAATATAGTCATTCTTGTGTTTCAAGAAAAAAGAATCGGGGTAGACATTTTCTTTGAAGAATATACACAGCTAACTGCTTGTATTAGTCATCTCTGGAGTGTAGGACCTAGGGGGAGGGTGAGGCTTCATAGTTTTCACTTTATAGTCTTGTAAGCTAGAAGTTTTTTTTAGACTGTCAGTATGTATTTTAAAAGAAATATTATTTTAAATAAGATTTTATCTTGCTGTAAGATTCTGTCATAAAGGTCTTCTGATCCTTCCAATTTTTCTAGTATGCTTTTTCAGTGTAACTAGTTACATGATAACAGAGTATTACTCAGAAGACGGTCATTGGTAAATAAAACCAATTTTTTTTTTTTTTTAAGATGACGATCCTTTCTGTTAACTATTTTAACTATATGGATTTACTGTTTCATAATGTTTCTGACCATGGGATTATTTGTCATGTTTTATCATTTCTAATGATCCTATTAGTCACTGTCATGCTAAAATAGAACATTTAGGAGAACTGATTTTAAAAAGTACATGAGTTTAACATTTTAGCATTTTTTCTTGTTGTTATTGTTAAAAAGCCTTACCAGAGATATTTAGCATGCTTTTAGTTCTTTCTTTCTTTATTTTTTGAGACAGAGTCTCACTCTGTCCCCCAGGCTGGAGCGCAGTGGTGCGTTCTTGGCTCACTGCAACCTCTGCCTTCTGGGTTCAGGTGATTCTCCTGCCTCAGCCTCCCGAGTAGCTGGGATTACAGGCACCCGCCACCACATGAGGATAATTTTTTGTATGTTTAATAGAGACAAGTTTTCACCCTGTTGACCAGACTGGTCTCGAACTCCTGACCTTGTGATCTGCCTGCCTTAGCCTCCAAAAGTGCTTGGATTACAGGCATGAGCCACCGCACCTAGCCAACATGCTTTTAGTTCTATATTTCTTTTACTTTTTTTTTTTGAGACAGAGTTTTGCTCTTGTTACCCAGGCTGCAGTGCAATGTCGCGATCTCGGCTCACCACAACCTCCGCCTCCTGGGTACAGGCAATTCTCCTGCCTTAGCCTCCTGAGTAGCAGGGGTTACAGGCACACGCAGCCATGCCCAGCTAATTTTTGTATTTTGAGTAGAGACGGGGTTTCACCATGTTGACCAGGATGGTCTTGATCTTTTGACCTCGTGATTCACCCGCCTCGGCCTCCCAAAGTGCTGGGATTACAGGCTTGAGCCACCGCGCCTGGCCCTTCTTTTTTTTTTTTTAACATGGGGTTTCACCATCATGGCCAGGCTGGTCTTGAACTCCTGACCTCAGGTGATCTACCCACCTTGGCCTCCCAAAGTGCTAGGATTACAGGCGTGAGCCCCTGTGCCCAGCCTAGTTCTGTATTTCTAATATAGAACTATATTACATCACTGTTAGCTAAATATTAGATATACTGTTATTATAATTTCATTATGTTAGAGAAAACCTCATGGCTTTAATATTTGGAATATAGATATTTCAAGTTTTTATTTTTGCCTCACAGTTTTCAGAACTATGGTTAGAATTTTAATGTTCCATTTGGTGATCATGACCTATTCATCATGTTTCCTATGGCTATGACTAGAAGTTTTATTATAATTCTTACTGCATATGTACAAATAAATAAAATTTAATAATCTTTACCTTTGCAGGATGTAAGTTGTCCAATAAGGCAAGTTCCCACAGGTAAAAAGCAGGTGCCTTTGAATCCTGACCTCAATCAAACAAAACCTGGAAATTTCCCGTCCCTTGCAGTTTCCAGTAATGAATTTGAACCTAGTAACAGCCATATGGTGAAGTCTTACTCATTGCTGTTTAGAGTGACTCGTCCAGGAAGAAGAGAATTTAATGGAATGATTAATGGAGAAACCAATGAAAATATTGGTAATTTTTTTTTTTTACTAGATTTTATCACTGGAGATTGAGATGGTCATTGAGAATGATTGTATTATGATTTATACCACTGTTTGCTATAAAGGAATACTTCATGGTAGTCATGGTGCTGACTTTTATAGCAAACAGTGAATTCACCTCCACCTCAACATTTTGTTGTGCAAATTTTCAAACATGAAGGACAATGAAAAGTATTGTATAGTGAATACCTATTTACTTACCCCTTAGATTCAACTATGAACATTTTATTATACTTGCTGCTAATTTATTTCCCTACCCATCCCTCTGTTCTTCCAGCAATTTTGAATTCATCTGAGGTACTCATTCAACAAACAAATAGGTGCTGGGGATGATTTAATTTAATCAAAGATGATTAAAACATCGAGTCCTGTCCTCCAAAGTCTCACAACCTAGTGTAGGGAAATAGACATGAATTAAATGATTACAGCAGAATGAGTGGTACAATAAAGCTGTATATGAAGTTTACTGGAGAAACACTTTGGAAGAAATAATCTTGGACTGTTGAAGTATTGTTTGAAGTTTTTTGGAAGTTACCATGAGTGAAAAGGAGTTGGCCTATCAGAGATGATTATAAGCAGAAAAATCAGCATTTGCCAGGATGGTGGGGTTAGTGTTGTGAGTGTTAAAAAGAACATATATATGGTAAAAATGCAGAACTGGGAAATGTGTGGTCTGTGTAACTTTAGTGTAATTTGTACCTCACTTGGGATAAATGTAGCATGTTTTAAAAGACCACATATCATAAATTAACCCTTTCGTTCTAATATTTGATTTATGAGAAATGTTTGTTAAATTTAGATGTCAATGAAGAGCTTCCAGCCAGAAGAAAACGAAATCGTGAGGATGGTGAAAAGACATTTGTTGCACAAATGACAGTATTTGATAAAAACAGGTAATGTCGATGAACAAATGAGGCTCCCACAATGTTCTGCAAATGTTTTCATTCTGAAGCAGAATATAATGATTATATTGATTATTTAATTGTCTTTGTTTCTTTTTATTCTCATGGATGGAAAAAAACAAATTTGCAAACACTGAATTTTTGTCTTTCATAGAAAACAATAATAATATGTAATTTGGGTAGCTCAGTTAAGATTACTTATTTGGCGAATGTTTTCTGAGTGTCTGCTCTTTGCCAGACAGTGTGCTAGACATTGAGAAGGCAACAAAATCCTTGCCGTCATCATGGAGCTTAACTTCTAGTGGAGGAAACAGACCACTACCCAAAAAAACAACTAATGTCACTTAACAACTAATGATGAGTGCTGTGAGGAAAATTAGAGAATAAATGGTTACTGTTTTATGGAGATATCCTCTGGAAGGAGGTAGCATTTGAGAAAAGACTTAAATGGACTGGGCCCCACATAAATCTTGGGGTTATATGTTTATTAAAAGTTAAAGAAGAGGAGCTGTTCATGGTGGTGTGCACTGTAGTTTCAGCTACATAGGAGGCTAAGGTGGGAGGATTGTTTGAACCCAGGAGTTCAGGGTGCAGTGAGCTATGATCATGCCACTGTACTCTGGCTAAGGATTGGAGGAAGATACCTGTGCCATGATTTCTCATACCAGGCTGCTTGCTGGTAGTTAACACAATTTATTGTCAGGTATAGGACAACCAGGAAGAATAACTCGGCCATTCTTCCTATAGTTTATTACTTAATTACCTATTTATTTATTTTGAGGCAGCCTCTCCCTCTGTCACCCAGGCTGGAGTGCAGTGCCATGATCTTGGCCTCCTGGGTTCAAGGGATTCACCTGCCTCAGCCTCCCGAGTAGCTGGAATTGCAGACACCTGCTACTACACCTGGCTAATTACTGTATTTTTAGTAGAGACAAGGTTTCACCATTTTGGCTAGGCTGGTCTCCAATTCCTGACCTTAAACAATCTGCCTGTCTCAGCCTCCTATTGTTTAAAAGTACTAGGTGGATGCTGGCTGGGCGTGATGGCTCATGCCTCTAAACCAAGCACTTTGGGAGGCTGAGGTGGGCGGATCACCTGAGGTTGGGAGTTCGAGACCAGCCTGACCAACATGAAGAAACCCCATCTCTACTGAAAATAGAAAATTAGCTGGGCATGGCGGCACATGCCTGTAATCCCAGCTACTCGGGAGGCTGAGGCAGGAGAATCACTTGAACACCAGAGGTGGAGGTTGTGGTGAGCCAAGATCACGCCATTGCACTCCAGCCTGGACAACAAGAGTAAAACCTGGTCTCAAAAAAAAAAGTAGTAGGTTGATACTTTAAGGTAGTCAATTGTTGGCCACCAGGTAAAAGTACAAGGCTTTTAGTAAGAAAGCGAATTGATTTAGGATAGTGATATAGATTTCAACTCCCATTTTATCTTAGAATATATCATTTAATGTCATTTAATATTAATTATATTAACTCCACAGGGTGGAGTTCAGTGTCAAAACGGCTCATTGCAACCTCAGCCACCCGGGTTTAAGTGATTCTCTTGCCTCAGCCTCCTGAGTAGTTGGGATTACAGGCGCCCACCACCATGCCCAGCTAATTTTTGTATTTTTAGTAGAGATAGCTTTCACCATATTGGCCAAGCTGGTCTCGAATTCCTGACTTCAGCTGATCAACCTGCCTCCCAAAGTGCTGGAATTACAAGCATGAGCTACTGCACCTGGCCAGTGTTTTTTAAAGTCAGAAATTTGATTGAGGATTGAAGATTCAAATGGAAAACAATAGAAACATAAATGTACTAGAAAATAGTGGTCATGTTTGTGTGGGGAGCAGTTAGAATGAAGCGAGTTGGACTTCATCAGTTCTGTTAATTGTTCTGTTTTAGGCAGCGTGGTATGTTCTGTTTTCTTTTTTATTCACTGTACCTGACACATATGTTAACAACATTCCTTGTATGAAAAAAATGCTGCTTTTATTTTGAAGACAGAGTGCCAAGAAGAAACTGAGAATTTCTCCCCAGCAGTTTATTTTGAAAAAAAGTTTTAATTTTTTTTTTTTTTTTTTAAGATGGGGTTTCACCATGATGGCCAGGCTGGTCTTGAACTCCTAACCTCAGGTGTTCCACCCACCTTGGCCTCCCAAAGTGTTAGGATTACAGGCGTGAGCCACTGTGCCTGGCCCGAAAATTTTTAAACCTGTAGGAAAGTTGAAAGAATACTACATTCATTTTATACCCACACACCCCTCATCTGGATTGTATTCATTGTTAACATTTTGCCACATTTGCTTTATTTGTGAGTACATATTTTTTGTGCTGAGCAATTTGAAAGTTTGCCTTATTCCTCATTTATAAACTCTCTTGCATGTATCTCCTAAGAACAAAGACATTTTTTGTATAACCACAGTACACTTATCATGAGGAAAATTAAAATGCAAATAAAATACTATCTCCCCAGCTGACATCAGTAATGTCCCTTATAATTTGTTCTGCCCTCACCCCCATTCTATAGCTTGATGTCATAGCTGTTCAGTCTCCTTTAATTTGGAATGATCCCTTAGCCTTTCCCCCTACCTTTTGTGACATTTTTTCCCCCAGTATAGGCTTGTGGTTTTCCAGAATGTATCTCAATTTGGACTTCTGTGATTATTTCCTTATAATTAGCTTCAGTTTAAACATTTTTGCAGGGATTTTAATGAGTGATGAACACATTTATATACTGCGTCACAGACAAAAGGCAATATTAGGTTTGATCACTTGGTTAAGATACTGTTCTCAATATTTCTCCGTTGTAACAGTACTTTTTTTCCTTTTTATATAAATTAACATACAATTACTGCGCTAATACATGAAGCTGAGTGAATACCAATTTTCTCCCCATAGCCTTTCACCCAATAGTTTTAGTAGCATCCAGTGATTATTTTTGCTTGAATAAATTATTCCTTTGGCAGTTGGCAAACAGTAATTTCTAAAATTTCTTCCACATTTATTAGTTTGTATTTTTATGTAAAGAACATTCCTTCTTTGCTCCCGCTGCTTCACTTGACTAACTTTTTTTTTTTTAAGACGGAGTTTTGCTGTTGTTACCCAGACTGGAGTGCAATGGCACGATCTCGGCTCACTGCAACCTCCGCCTTCTGGGTTCAAGCAATTCTTCTGCCTCACCCTCCCAAGTAGCTGGGACTACAGGCGCACACCACCGTGCCCAGCTAATTTTTGTATTTTTAGTAGAGACGGGGTTTCACCTTGTTGACCAGGATGGTCTCGATCTCTTGACCTCATGATCCACGCGCCTCAGCCTCCCAAAGTGCTGGAATTATAGGCATGAGCCACCATGCCCGGCCTTGACTAACTTTAAAAACAGCCAAGCATGGTGGCTGACACCTGTAATCCTAACACTTTGGAAGGCCAAGGTGGATTGTTTGAGCCCAGGAGTTTGAGACCAGCTTGGGCAACATAGTAAGACCCCATCTCTAAAAAGCAATTTAAGAAACAAATTTGTATAAATTTAAAAAGAAGAGCATTCTTTTTCTCAAGTTTGATATTTTAAATAATTGAATAAAAACATAATTTGTTAATCTGTCTATTCATATTATTATGTTAATGCTCAAATTGTCCCTTATTTGGTCAGGAAGAGCCCTTCTGAGTAGGTTCCTGTGTGGTCTTGACTTATATGCTGCTATTATTCTTTCCTTATTTTCTGGAATAGTGATATACCAGAATTACCTTCTCTTTTTTTGAGATGTTTTTGCTCTTGTTGCCCAGGCTGGAGTGCAATGGCACGAGCTCAGCTCACCGCAACCTCTGCCTCCCAAGTTCAAGGGATTCTGCTGCCACAACCTCCTGAGTAGCTGGAATTACAGGCACGTGCCACCATGCCTGGCTGATTTTGTATTTTTAGTAGAGATGCGCTTTCTCCATGTTGGTCAGGCTGGTCTCGAACTCCCAGCCTCAGGTAATCCACCCGCCTCGGCCTCCCAAAGTTCTGGAATTACAGGCATGAGCTACCGCCCCTGGTGTACTTTCTCCTTTTCTTACCTCTGCTCTGGAGTTGTGATTTCTTCAAGGAGTCTTGATTCCTTTTAGTAGAATAATAATTATAATGTAAAAGCTGGATGTTAGATGTATAAAAATTGTTTTTAAAATTTCAGAGAGGGCTGGGTCCAGTGGCTCACACTTGTAATCCTAGTACTTTGGAAGACCAAGGTGGGAGGATCACTTGAGCCTAGGAATTTCAGGCTGTAGTGAGCTGTGATTGTGCACTGCACTCTACCATGGGTGACGGAATGAGAGTGTCTCCAAAAAAAAAAAAAAAAAAAAAATTCAGTTAATTCCTTGAAGGAACAACGAAAATTCAGAAGCCATGTAGGAAAAGAATACAAGGTTGAACAAAATAAAAATAAAAAACTTCTTCAGAAAACAAAAAAGCCACTGTAACCAAAGTCAAAATAAAAATGACAGGAACGTGCAGAATTATTTTCAACTCATCTTATAGGTAGTTATCTCATTCTTGAATGTAAAAGGTCATGCTAATTTTAAAAGACCACTGCCTAGTAGAAGAATGGGCAAAGGATACAATAAGAAGTTTACCAAAAAATATATATGTGGTTCTTAAACGATTAAAATGATTTTAAAAATCTGAATTAAAAGTAAACTGAAGTGTTATTTTTTCACTTACCAGATTGACAGAGACCAAAAAACTTGATAAAGCACTGTTGTTGAGCTATTGGGGAAAGGCTTCCACATATATTACAGATAGGAGAGTACATCAGATTGCAGCTATCAAATGTACACCCATAAAATGGAATAGTATGTAGCCATGTAAAAGCATAAGGAAGCTCCTTTTTAACTTAGAAGTATATGAATTTATTACCTACTCAATAAATAAATTAGCTTTTAAAATAGGAAGTTGAATAGCTTTGCTGATGTATTATTGAAGTTGACTATATTTCAAGTATTACAGCATAGAGAAAAGACAAAAATTCTTATGTCTCGATTTGGTTTTAAGAGTCAGACTTTAGAGACAAAATCTGTATTCAATTGCTAGATCTGGATCTTTACTTTTACTTGTCTTTGATTTTAAGACAAGTTATTTAACCCCTTTGTGCCTCAGTTTTCTCTTCTGGCAATGGAATAATAGTACATAGATCATAGCATTGTTGAGAAGATTAAATGAACCATGTAAAATCTTTATAATAGTGCCTGGCACATAGTGAACACTCAATAAATGTTAGTTATTTTGCCTGATAGAATTTCTCTAAGAGTGAAGAAGAAAAGCCAGATTCTTGCTATATACAGTTAATTACTGAGCATGGTTGAAGAATGATGTTTAGAGTAGTAATGGTTACTAGTGTTTCAAGTATGGACAAAATAAAATTAAAAAGTATGGAAAAATAAATTATACATACACATATACACACACATTATACTGTGTGAATATATTTGAATTATTTGATTCAATCTTTATTATTCATCCATGAAATATTTATTGAGCACCTATATGTGCCAGGTGCCACCAGGATTCTATAGTTACCAGATTTTTCATTATAATCGTCAGTTTACTGGTCAAGTATAAAAGTGAAGGATTCTAGTTCAAACAATTACATTAGTTAAAAGTAACAATTCTTAGTGGTTCCCTAAGATAAATATTGTAACACTGTTATTACCCCATTTTTAAAAATATAAAGCTTGGCCCACATGTGGTGGTTCACACCTGTAATCCCAGCACTTTGGGAGGCCAAGGTGAGTGGATCACCAGGTCAAGAGTTCAAGACCAGCCTGGCCAACATGCTGAAACCCCATCTCTACTAAAAATAAAAAAATAGCTGGATGTGATGGCACACGCCTGTAGTCCCAGCTACTCGAGAGGCTGAGGCAGGATAATCGCTTGAACCTGGGCAGCAGAGGTTGTAGTGAGCTGAGTTCATACCACTGCACTCCAGCCTGAGCGACAGAGCAAGACTCCATCTCAAAAAAAAAAAAAAGCCTGTCCATATGCTTTATATTTAATGTTTATAACGTACCAGGTTTTGAGGCCTCAGGTATATTATACTTCATATGTTTAGAGTTATATCTGAATAGCTACAGTAATGAATTAATTCCTAGTAATATAGTTGTTAGTGTTCGTCATTAAAATTGCTTTCATCAGGACTGGAGTGTAGATAAATTTTTAAAATCTTGTTGGGTATGTAAGCTAGTTTATAAATTTAATAAATGCTTTTAGTATAAAGATAAAGAATTTGTGTACTTATAGTGATGACACAGGTTACTTTAAAGTATATGTGTTTGTCTAACAGGCGCTTACAGCTTTTAGATGGGGAATATGAAGTAGCCATGCAGGAAATGGAAGAATGTCCAATAAGCAAGAAAAGAGCAACATGGGAGACTATTCTTGATGGGAAGGTATGGACTACTCAGAAGGTTGAGCACATTATAGTTATGAAGTCCCAGTTTTGATTGATGTTTTCTTCCCCAAATGCTAATTCATGTTGGAAGTGAAGAGTCCTTTGTTTATTATATTTTGAAAAACACAGGTAAATGATCTAGTCAGAGCATTTAATGGAAGGCATCTTTTTTTTTTTTTTTGAAATGGAACCTCACTTTGTTGCCTGGGCTCAAGTGCAGTGGGGCAGTCTCAGCTCACTGCAACTTCTCTCTCCCAGATTCAAGTGATTCTCCTGCCTCAGCCTCCTGGGTAGCTGTGATTATAGGTGCCTGCCATCATGCCTGGCTACTTTTTGTATTTTTAGTAGGGATGGGGTGTCACCACGTTGGCCAAGCTGGTCTCAAACTGCTGACCTCATGATCCGTCACCTGTAATCACTTGGATTACAGACATAAGCCACTGTGCGTGGCCACACAGAAGGCATCATTCTTTTAGAGCCAGACTGCCTGATTCAAATCTCTCTTTCTAGCTGTGTGGCGTTTGGCAAGTTACTTATTCATGTCTCAGTTTTTCCGTCTGTAAAATGAGACATAGAATTGATGGAATAGGCTGGGTGCAGTGGTTTACACCTATCATCCCAGCACTTTGGGAGGCCAAGGCTGGCGAATCATGAGGTCAGGAGTTTGAGACTAGCTGACCAACATGGTGAAACCCTGACCCTACTAACAATACAAAAAATTAGTATTAAATGCTCTAAGTAGATCATATATAATCCCAGCTCCTTGGGAAGCTGAGGCAGGAGAATCGCTTGAATGTGGGAATCAGAGGTTGCAGTGAGCTGAGATTGTGCCACTGCCCCCCAGCCTGGGCAACAGAGTGAGACTCCACCTCAAAAATAAATAAATAAACAAACAAACAAATAAATAAAACAAATAAAGGATTAGATGGAATAATAAAATAGTACAGTGCCTGGCATATAATAAGTGCTCAATAAATGTTAACTGCTATTTTAAATTTTATTCATTGTAATGGCGGGTAATAAGGGATGACTAATAACACATTTATCAAGAAATCTGCAGCATTTAGATTAAGCGTACTTAAAATAACTCTTTTAAGAGATAAAGAGGCATCCAGACATTTCTTAAATAGGTGGATTCAAAGCTATAATGTTGTCCTTTGTTTCTAAATATGTTAGGTTAATGTACCATCCATCTAGAAGGATAAGTATTTAGTAATTCTAAGGGAAATTTTAGAAAAGTATTCTGAGAATTTCTACTTACCAGTTTTAGTATAATACACAATATGTAATAGAATATACCATAAAGTTAAGAGAACTTAAACCCTGTGGTATAAGCATAGGACTAGACAAGCATATCATTCAGGCATAGTCCTGAAGTAGTTTGATATATATTTGAAAATTGTGACAACTCTTCTCTAGTCATCTGGAAATAATCTTAGACCTAATACATTCCGAAAGGCTCATAAACATGTAAAAATTAACATTCATAAGTATAGAAAAGAAATAAGTAAATGTTAATATATTGCAGTGAGGAAGACCCTTTTAAGGATGATTTAAAAGTAAGAAAGCATAAAGTAAAAATTGCCTGTGTAATATTAGTCATTTTTGTTTTGTTCTATTTTTATTTTTTTGGAGACGGAGTCTCGCTCTGTCACCCAGGCTAGAGTGCAGTGGCGAGATCTCTGCTTACTGAAACCTACCTCTCCTGGGTTCAGATGATTCTCCTGCCTCAGCCTCCTGAGTAGCTAGGACTACAGGTGCATGCCACTGAGCCTAGCTAATTTTTTGTATTTTCAGTAGAGACAGGGTTTCACCGTCTTAGCCAGGATAGTCTCAATCTCCTGACCTCATGATCTGCCCACCTTGGCCTCCCAAAGTGCTGGGATTACATGCGTGAGCCACCATGCCCAGCCAAACTTAGTCATTTTTATACTGCAAAAATCTAAAGTTACAAACAGAAATGAATGGCTGGGGGAAATACTTTTAACACAAAATGCTAATATTATGAATACATAATATTGTGAGTTATAAATCAAGATAAAGCTAAGCAGGTCAATAAGAAATATGTGCCAAGAACTATCAGCCAGTTCTTAAAAAAAAAAAATATATAGATGGCCAGCAAACTTAAAGCAATACTCAACCTTATTAGTATTCAAAGACATGCAAACAAAAGCAGAGATACTACTTTTGACAATTAGTTTGACAAAGATTAAAAAGATTGACAGTTTCTAGTGTTTTAGGGATGTGAGAACACATACTCTCAAATAATACTTTGATGTTAAGAATAAACTGGGGCTGGGTGCAGTGGTTTATGCCTGTAATCCCAGCACTTTGGGAGGCCAAGGCGGGCAGATCACTTGAGGTCAGGTGTTTGAGACCAGCCTGACCAACATGGTCAAACCCCATCTCTACCAAAAACATAAAAATTAGTCAGTTTTGCTGGCAGATACCTGTAGTCCCAGCTACTTGGGAAGCTTGGGAGAATTGATTGAACCCAGGAGGCAGAGGTTTCAGTGAGCTAAGATCATTTCACTGCACTCCAACATGGGCGACAGAGCAAGACTCTGTCTCAAAAATAAAAAAAGTTGGTACACTATAGGGTAGACTGGCAATATATATACAATTAAAATTGTGCTGGGCATGGTGGCTTACACTTCTAATCCCAGCAGTTTGGGAGGCTGAGGCAGGCAGATCACGAGGTCAGGAGTTCAAGGCCAGCCTGACCAACATGGTGAAACCCCGTCTCTACTAAATATGTAAACGTTAGCTGGGCATGGTGGTGCATGCCTGTAATCCAGCTACTCAGGGAGGTGAGGCAGGAGAATCACTTCAACAATGAGGTTGCAGTGAGTCAAGATGACGCCACTGCACTCCCGCCTAGCAACAGAGCAGCAAGCCTCTTGTCTCAAAAAAAATTGTAAATATAGTCTTTAACCATTCAGATTTTACAATTTTGTCATAACATAGTAACTGGTTAACAAAAGATGTAGGTAACAGGTCTTATAGGCATTTTTTAAATAGTGAAAAGTTAGAACATGTTAAATCTAAAAAGATAGTCATTAAAAAGGATGGTAGTTGCCAAGATATCCATATTAAATTTTTACAAAAGTGTGTATAGGTATAGATAGAGACACACATACACACGTATATTTTTTTCCTTTTCTAAAATAATAGTGGTTAACTCCAGGTGATGAGACTTCACATAATTTTTATTCATCTATAGTGTTTGGGTCTTCTGCACAGATTTATCTTTATAATCTTTATAATCTTTTCATTTTAAATTTCTTTTTTTTTTTTTTCCTAGAGACAGAGTTTCACCATGTTGGTCAGGCTGGTCTCGATATCCCGACCTCAGGTGATCCACCCATCTCAGCCTCCCAAAATGCTGGGATTATAAGCATAAACCACCAAACCTGGCCTTAAATTTCTTGTTTTAAAATATGTTTTATTTTTATTGAGTGCAGTGGCTGCGATCTCAGCTCACTGCAACCTCTGACTCCGTGGTTCAAGCTATTCTGCCTCAGACTCTGAAGTGGCTAGGATTACAGGCACACGCCACCTCACCCAGCTAATTTTTGTATTTTTAGTAGAGATTGGGTTTCACCATGTTGGCCAGGATGGTCTTGATTTCCTGACCTGGTGATTCACCTGCGTCAGCCTCCCAAAGTGCTGGGATTACAGGTGTGAGCCACCGCACCCAGCTCCCCCCACATACATATATATTTTTTCCCACTTAAAAAAATTTTAACAATGGTTAAGTCCAGGTGATGAGATTTTAAATAATTTTTCTTTGTAGTGTTTGGGTTTTTCTGCTTGAATTTATCTTTATAATCTTTTCATTTAAATTTCTTGTTTTAAAGTATGTTTTGTTTTTATCTATGAAGATTTTAGGGTGGGTGGTGGTTTGAGATGGAGTCTTGCTGTCACCCCGAGTGTGGAGTCCAGTGGCGAGATCTCAGTTCACTGTAACCTCTGCCTCCTGGGTCAGAGTGATTCTCCTGCCTCAGCCTCCTGAGTAGTTGAGATTACAGGTGTGTGCCACCATGCCTGGCTAAATTTTGGAATTTTTAGTAGAGATGGGGTTTCGCCATGTTGGCCGGGCTGGTCTCAAAGTCCTGACCTCTAGTGGTCTACTCTCCTCGGCCTCCCAAAGTGCTGGGAGTACAAGCATGAACCATGGCGCCTGGCCCAGTTATGCTTTTTTTTTTTTTTTTTTTAAAGCATTACAAAGGAAGAGATACATACAGTGAGGTATCAGAGAAAGGGATGTGGAGCTTTTATGTCCTCTCTAGTGTGCCCCCTCCAGGAACCTCCAGTTGTTCCACTATCTGGAAGCTTTTTTTTTTTTTCCCTGCCCTCTCAACCCAGCTTTTCCTGACTCCTGGAAGAACCGGGAAGAGAAGGCTGTTTTTTGTTTTGAGATGGGAGTTTCATTCTTTTTGCCCAGGCTGGAGTGCATTGGTGCAATCTCAGCTCACTGCAGCTTCCGCCTCCCAGATTCAAGTGAGTCTCCTGCCTATTCCTCCTAAGTAGCTGTGACTACAGGCATGTGCCACCACACTGGCTAATTTTGTATTTTTAATAGAGATGGCGTTTCACCATGTTGGTTAAGCTGGTCTTGAACTCCTGACCTCAAGTGATCCACCCGCCTCAGCTTCCCAGAGTGCTGGGATTACAGGTGTGAGCCATCGTGCCAAGTCTATCTGGAAGCTCTTAACCCTGTAAAATGGTTATCCTTTTAAGCCAGAGCATATAGATAGACTTCTTTTTAAAAGTTCTCCCTGGGAAGAAGAAAAGTGTATTTTAGAAGAAAAGATAATGGATTCACTTGTAAACATGTTTTAGTTCAAGTGGCAATGTCCAAGAGGCAGTTGGCAAAAAGAGTTTAGAGTTCATGGAGAACCAATTTGGGATCATCAGCTTGATAGGTAAATCCTTGAGGATGGGTGAGCTTTTGGGTCAGATTGCTAAAAGTTAGCTATTTTAAATAGCTCATTGTCCTAAAATCAAAGAAGGGGAATTCATTGTCAGTGAAACTGAGAGAAGTCAAGGAAAATTACTAATTGAAAAGCTGTTGAGTTTACACACACACACTAAAAGTACTTGGTCACCTGAGAGCAAAGTTGCATGCGAGTAGGCTTTGGGTACCACAATTTTGTTTTTGAGGCAGCCGGGCATGGTGGCTCACGCCTGTAATCCCAGCACTTTGGGAGGCCGAGGCGGGTGGATCACGAGGTCAAGAGATCGAGACCATCCTGGTCAACATGGTGAGACCCCATCTCTACTAAAAATACAAAAATTAGCTGGACATGGTGGTGCGCTCCTGTAGTCCCAGCTACTCGGGAGGCTGAGGCAGGAGAATTGCTTAAACCCAGGAAGCAGAGGATGCAGTGAGTGAGTTGAGACTGCGCCAATTGCACACCAGCCTGAGTGAGAAGAGTGAAATTCTGTCTGAAAAAATAGACATTTTGAACTGGTTATCAACATAAATGGGAAGGTTTCCCATGAAAACTTTGATTTCTGACTTTTTTGGAAAAATCTGAAAATCTGACTGTGCTGGATGAGTGTTTCCACGTGGCAACAGTTCAGCTGTTGCTGATAAGTGGTTGCCTCTTAGCCTGTGCTCTCCAGTTCAAGTTCTACAGTGTCTTCTCTATACATTTACTTTATTTGCCTATCTCAGTCAGCATTTGGATTTTTCAAGAAAAATTTATTGATTTAAGTCAAATCACATTGACTTACAGTGAATTTTATTTCTGTAATTTCTTTCAATTCAGTATATGAATATCCAGTCTTTGCATGATTTTTTTTTAGAGGCTGCCTCCATTTGAAACATTTTCTCAGGGACCTACGTTGCAGTTTACTCTTCGCTGGACAGGAGAGACAAATGATAAATCTACAGCTCCTATTGCCAAACCTCTTGCCACTAGAAATTCAGAGGGTCTCCATCAGGAAAACAAGCCTGGTTCAGTTAAACCTACTCAACCTATTGGTAAGAAAACATTGCTATCAAAATAATGGTTGGCAGAGTTAAGTCTTATACTTTAGATTAATTCACTTGTCTTTTGCTTTATGTGATTTTTTTTGGCGGGGGGAGGGGGACAGTCTCTCTCTGTTTCCCAGGCTGTAGTGCAGTGTCGAGATTTCAACTCACTGCAAGCTCTCCCTCCTGGATCCTCATGATTCTCCTGCCTCAGCCTCCCAAGTGGCTAGAATCGAAGGTGCCTGCCACCTTGCCTGGCCACATTTGTTTGTTTTTTTTGCTTTTTCTTTGTTTGTTTGGAGACGGAGTCTCCCTCTGTCACCCAGGCTGGAGTGCAGTGGCTCCATCTGGGCTCACTGCAACTCACCTCCCGGGTTCAAAAGATTCTCCTGCCTCAGGCTCCCGAGTATTTGGGACTATAGGCGCGTGCCACCACACCCAGCTAATTTTCTGTATTTTTAGTAGAGATAGTGTTTTATTATGTTAGACAGGATGGTCTCTATCTCCTGACCTCATGATCACTTGCCTTGGCCTCCCAAAGTGTGGGATTACAGGCGTGGCTGCTGTGCTTGGTTGTTTTTGTATTTTTTTTTTTTTTAAAGAGACAGGGTTTCACCATGTTAGGCTGCTCTCGAACTCCCAACCTCAGGTGATCCGCCTGCCTCAGCCTCCCAAAGTGCTGGGATTATAGGTGTGAGCCACCGCGCCCAGCTGTTTTTGTATTTTTAATAGAGATGGGGTTTGACCATGTTGGCCATGTTGGTCTCAAACTCCTAAGCTCAAGTGATCTGCCTGCCTCAGCCTCCCAAAGTGCTGGGATTACAGGTGTGAGCCACCACTAGTGGCCTCTATGTGGTTAGTCTTTTGGAAATAATATTTGGCTTATTAGGTTATAAACCATGCTAAATTAGAGTTCTATATTAAGTGTAAAGTTTTGTGTTGGACTAAACACAAAACTAGTAAAAATTATTTATCCAGAACCTTTTGCCAAGTGTGCCTAGAAATTTGAATTGGGGAAAAAAAAATTTAGAAGCATGATATGGTACATAGTATAGATGTCATATATAACCATCTTGAAGTGGGGTCCTCATGTTATCTTAGGGCAGGTCTTTCCACTAAACAATTTGGCCAGAAAGACACAAGAAAACTATTGATTTTCAGATTAGCTTTTAAGATTTTGAAATCACAACTATAAAGGGTTTTGGAACTATTTTTTACAACTCACATAAAAGTTATTTCTATGTTGTAGAATAATATAGAGAGAGTTTCTACAATGATAAGGCTGGAAGAGGATCATCACAACATTAATTTTGCCAGGTTAATTTTTTTTTCTCCTAGTTTCTAGACTACCAGAAAACTAGGTTACATTTTGCAGTAAAAAAAAAATTTTTTTTTTGAGACAGGGTCTCACTGTTGCCCAGGCTGGAATGTAGTGGCTTGATCTTGGCTCACTGAAACCTCTGCCTCACAGGTTCAAGTAATTCTCCTGCCTTAGCCTCCCAAGTAGCTGGGATTAGAGGTGCCCACCATCATACCCAGCTGATTTTTATATTTTTCTTAAGTAGAGACGAGGTTTCAACCTGTTGTTGGCCCAGCTGGTTTTAAACTCTTTACCTCAGGTGATCCACCTGCCTCCCAAAGTACTGGGATTATAGGTGTGAGGCATCACACCCAGCCAATTTTTAAGAGGAAAGAACATTTACAAATAGAGTTAACTTTCTGCTGAATTTGAGGCCCAAGTTGCAATGTTCTGTCATTTTATTTTATTTTTTGGGATGGGGCATTGTTCTGTCACTCCAACTGCAGTGCAGTGGTGTGATCTCAGCTCACTGCAACCTCTGCCTCCTAGGCTTGAGTGATCTCCCACGTTAGCCCTCCGCATAGATGAGACCACAGGTTTGCGCCACTATGGCCTATTAATTTTTGTATTTTTAGGTAGAGATGGGGTTTTGCTATGTTACCCAGACTGGTCTCATACTCCTGAGATAAAGCAATCTCCCACCTCGGCTTCCCAGACTACTGGGACTACAGGCGTGAGCCACTGTGCCTGGCCAAGTTCTGTTATTTTTATGTCTGTCCAGTAGAAAAATGTCCTTGACCTGGGAGCATTCATGTGTGTCTCTGTGTTTAGAGAAGGCAGAAGGCTTAAGATGTCCTCTTTGACCACTCATTTACAGTCATTGGGTGCGCTTCACAGTAATGGTCAGATTAAAGGGATATAAGAAATGAGGCTGGGCACAGTGTCTCACACCTTGTAATCCCAGCACTTTGGGAGACTGGGGTGGGTGAATGGCTTCAAGTCTAGGAGTTCAAGACCACCCTGGTCAACAGAGTAAGAACCTGTCGCTTATAAAAAATATAAATAAAGCCTGGGCGCAATGGCTCATGTAATCATGTAATCAGTGCTGTAATCCTAGCACTTTGGAAGGCCAAGGTGGGTGGATCACCTGAGGGCAGGAGTTCAAGACCAGCCTGGCCATGATGGTGAAACGCACCTTAAAAAATAAAAAAAAGAAAAAAAATATATAAATAAGAAATGGCCTGTTCAGGGGAAAGATTTCCCAAGTAAACTGTAGTGTGGGCACTTCTCAGAATACGCTGAAGCCAGTGAAATAGGTACAAGGTTGCAACGAAACTAAAGAAAGTTTTATACAAATTGTACCTAACTGCTTATTATTAAGGAAAAGTAAATACCTTTTTTTCTCTTATGTCTAAAAGGAAATATACCAGAATCATTTTTTACTATCTTTTTTTAAAAATATATATATTTTATTGCACTTTAGGTTCTGGGGTACTTGTGCAGATCATGCAGGATGGTTGTATAGGTGCATACATGGCAATGTGGTTTGCTCCCTCCATCCCCCATCACCTATATCTGGCATTTCTCCCCGTGTTATTCCTCTCCAACCTCCCTACCCCTTACTACCTTTTTAGATTTGAAATAATGTTTTTCTTTTTGAGACGGTGTCTTGCTCCATCACCCAGGCTGGAGTGCAGTGGTGCGACCTCAGCTCACTGCACCCTCCATCTCTCAGGTTCAAGTGATTCTCCTGCCTAAGCCTCCCAAGTTGCTGGGACTACAAGTGTGTGCAATCACACCTAATTTTTTTTTTTAAAGTAGAGACGGTTTCACCATGTTAGCCAGGCTGATCTCAAACTTCTGACCTCCCACAGTGCTGCGATTGCAGGCATGAGCCACCACGCCAGGCCTGAAATAAATTTAATTAGTTTAATCTTACTTTCTGATAAACCAACATTTAGTGCCTGCTCACTCCTAGTCTCTGACAATACAATCAAAACTATACTCTGGGCTTGGCACAGTGGGTCACGGCTGTAATCCAGCACTTTGGGAGGCCAAGGCAGATTGCCTGAGCTCAGGAGTTGGAGACCAGCCTGGGCAACATGGTGAAACCCCATCTCTACTAATACAAAACTCAGCTGTATGTGGTGGCAGGCACCTGTAATCCCAACTACCCAGGAGGCTGAGGCAGGAGAATTGCTTTAACCCAGGAGGTGGAGGTTGTTGTGAGCCGAGATTGTGCCACTGCACTCCAGCCTGGTAAGCAAAGTGAATCTCTGTCTTAAAAAAACAAAACAAAAAAAATTTTGACCTCAACATGCTTAAAACAGCATGGTGATTACATATAATTACTTTTATAATTGTTTAGGACATAGAGGGTGTTCGTTCGTTTGTTTTGAGACAGTCTTGTTCTGTTGCCAGGCTGGAGTGCAGTGGCACAATCTTGGCTCACTGCAACGTCTGAGTACTACCTGGTTCAAGCGATTCTCCTGCCTCAGCCTCCTGAGTAGCTGGGACTACAGGCATGTGCTACCACGTCCAGCTAATTGTTGTATTTTTAGTATAGATGGGGTTTCACCATGTTGGCCAGTATTGTCTTAATCTCCTGAGCTCATGATCTGCCTGCCTCAGCCTCCCAAAGTGCTGAGATTATAGGCATGAGCCACTGTGCCCAGCCACAGGTGGTTTTTAAGGAAAAAAATACATCCTGCCAGAGAACAGAAATGTATTAAATACCACACATAGAATTCTGCGAAACCATTAATGTTTAATAGTTTTTGTGGGGTATGTTATTTTGCTTTTCGAAAGCCATGTTTTTATTTAATATAAAAGTGTTTAATTTTAGCTGTTAAAGAATCATTGACTACAGATCTACAAACAAGAAAAGAAAAGGATACTCCAAATGAAAACCGACAAAAATTAAGAATATTTTATCAGGTAAGCATAGCTGACCCTTCTTAAAATAATTATGAAACGTATTTGTTTTTTGTATGCTAAACATGAATATTTTTTGTTTATTTTTATTTTATTTATTTATTTAATAAATACTGGGTGTCACTTTGTTTCCCAAGCTGGAGTGCAGTGGTGCAGTCGTGGCTCACTGCAACCTCTGCCTGCTGGGTTCAAGCAGATTCTGCTGCCTCAGGCTCTAGAGTAACTGTAATTACAAGTGCATGCCACCCCTCCCAGCTAATTTTTATAGTTTTTATAGAAACAGGGTTTCACCATGTTGCCCAGGCGGGTCTTGAGCTCCAAGCGATACATTTGCTCTGTCTGCTTTGGCTTCCCAAAGTGCTGGGATTACAGGTGTGAGTCACTTTGCCTCACTGGACATAGTTAATTAAAGGGGATATCTCTAATTTTATTTTCCTTTTAAAATTTTTAACTATTTTTAGAAGTGATATTAAAACAAAATACTTGGTGATGTGTAAATTGGATATTTGCTTTTTTTTTTTTTTTTTTTTTATCATTTCTAGTTTCTTTATAACAACAATACTAGACAACAAACTGAAGCAAGAGATGACCTACATTGCCCTTGGTGCACTCTGAATTGCCGCAAACTTTATAGTTTACTCAAGCATCTTAAACTCTGCCATAGCAGATTTATCTTCAATTATGTTGTGAGTACATTTCCATTTTTTCTTAATATGCATTAAGAACATCTCTTGTACCCCATAAAAACATACACCCACTATATACCCACAAAAATTTTTTTAATTAAAGGGAAAAAATATGCATTAAGTACAAGGCAATGTGACTTTCAAAAATTGTACTTTGTATAAAAATAACAAATTTCTATATTTGATAGTACTCTATATACGGATTACAGTGAATGATTCAGAGTTGACATATATTTGGAATCTAAGTATAATGTTTGTGTAGTATATCTGTATTGATGCACAAAATCCTCAACCAACTCTTTGAATTAAGTGAGAATTTTCTTATTCTTGATCAAGCAAAAAAGAATTTCTACAAAGTCACCAAGCAATAAATGATGTAGTCAAGACTTTAACACATCTTGTTGACCCCAGGTCTTCTGACTGCCTCTTTGCCATGCTGGTGTGCCTGGCCTGTTTTAGTTTTCCAAATATTAAGAACCCACAAATTCTTTAATTAATTAAATTGGAGGGATATTTAGGATAGGATAATTAATATTTTCTTTGACATTTTTGTTGCAGTATCATCCAAAAGGTGCTAGGATAGATGTTTCTATCAATGAGTGTTATGATGGCTCCTATGCAGGAAATCCTCAGGATATTCATCGCCAACCTGGATTTGCTTTTAGTCGCAATGGACCAGTTAAGAGAACACCTATCACACACATTCTTGTGTGCAGGTAGGTAAAAAGGGCGTATAACTAAAGTTTAAGGTCTGATTTTTATTGATGTTGGAAGAACAAAGTTGCCAAACGAAACTGCCAGTTAGGTGGAAATTAGTAGCATTTGGTGTCTATGGGGTTATTAACTGTGTTCTTGTTCTAACACTTTTCTAGCTCCTATTACTACAGAGGTCTTCTCACTTTTTCTTTGAACTTTATCCTTAAGTTTTAATGATATTAATGTCACTACTGCTGCAGAGGTTAGTGGGATTAAATAATTCTCAGTAAAAGTTTCCATGTGCACACCTCGTAGGAACCTTGCAAGAAGGGAAGGGATATCTTTTATCTGGGTAGTATGAAATATAAAGAACTCTGTCCCTATCATTTAGTATTCATTCCATGAGATTATATCCTTTTAAGTAGTACCTTAGATTCGTTCTCCTTCCATTTAGCTGTATGGTTACATGGGTGTGTTCACAGCAGTAGCTTTAACTGCTGAGATTAAAGTTACAAAGGGGCTGAGTACAGTGGCTCATGCTTGTAATCCCAGCACTTCGGGAGGTGAAGTGGGAATATTGCTTAAGGCCAGAATTTGAGACGAGCCTAACATAGTAAGACCCATCTCTATAAACTTTTTTTTGTTGTTGTTGTTGAGACAGAGACTCACTTTGTCGCTCAGGCTGGAGTTTAATGGCGTGATCTTGGCTCATTGCAACCTCCGTCTCCTCGGTTCGAGCAATTCTCCTGCCTCAGCCTCCCGGGTAGCTGGGATTACAGGCATGTGCCACCATGACCAGCTAATTTTGTAATTAAGTAGAGATGGGGTTTCTCCCTGTTGGTCAGGCTGGTCTCAAACTCCTGACCTTAGGTGATCTGCCTGCCTCGTTCTCCCAAAGTGCTGGGATTGTAGCCCACCACATCCCAGCACTTTGGGAGGCCAAGGCGGGCAGATGGCGCCATTGCTTTCCAGCCTGGGCAACAAAAGTGAAACTCTGTCTTATAATAATAAAAGTGAAACTCCATCTCAAAATAATAAATAAATAAATAAATAAATAAAATTACAAGGGAGTTTTTAATCTTAGTAAAACTGAAAAAAAATTCTTAAGGCAGGTTTATGTGTATGTAACCAGTGTTAAGGCTTTTTTGCTTTGTGGATATATGTGGGTTAGAATACACAGTTTTGACATGTAGGATTCCTATCTGAATGTGTCCTAACTAGCACTTCAATTCTTTTTCTTCCTTTTTAATGATGATTTTTTTTCTAGGTTTATTTTTCACACAGAAAGACAGTTTTAAAACTGTGTGTGTGAATTCATATGTAATAGGTTTGATTTACATGATTGTATAGAAAGAAAGTAACTAGTGGGGTTGTGCCTCTAATGTTGTTTTATGGTTAGTTTTATAAAATGGTGATGTTGCAAATTATCACAGATCTCAACTCATAGTCATGAGGTTAGATGGTATAGATGTAGAGGCCATAAATTAACATTTATTTCTTTTTATTAGGCCAAAACGAACAAAAGCAAGCATGTCTGAATTTCTTGAATCTGAAGATGGAGAAGTAGAACAGCAAAGAACATATAGTAGTGGCCACAATCGTCTGTATTTCCATAGTGATACCTGCTTACCTCTCCGTCCACAAGAAATGGAAGTAGATAGTGAAGATGAAAAAGATCCTGAATGGCTAAGAGAAAAAACCATTACAGTAATTATTATCATCATCATTATTGGCAGTTATCTTGCAATGTTGTTATTAATTTGTTTTGAAAATTGGTTAATACGAACTAGACTTTTCCTGTAAAGGAATTAAAAAAAAAAAAATGAATCCAGGAATGTACAATTTAAAAAAATTACATCACTTTAAAAGTTACCAAGTTAGGGCTGGGTACGGTGGCTCACACCTGTAATCCCAGCACTTTGGGAGGCTGAGGTGGGCGGATCACCTGAGGTTGGGAGTTTGAGACCAGCCTGATCAACAGGGAGAAACCCCATTGCTACTAAAAAATAGAAAATTAGCCAGGTGTGGTGGCACATGCCTGTAATCCCAGCTACTCAGGAGACTGAGGCAGGAGAATGGCTTGAACCTGGGAGGTGGAGGTTGCGGTGAGCTGTGATCACACCACTGCACTTCAGCCTGGGCAACAAGAGCAAACCTCAGTCTCTTAGGCTGGGTGCCCTGGCTCATGTGTAGTCCTAGCACTTTGGGAGACAGGCGGGCGGATTTCGAGACCAGCCTGGACAACCTGTCGAAACCCAGTCTCTACTAAAAATACAAAGAATTAACCCAACATGGTGGCATACACCTATAATCCCAGCTACTTGGGAGGCTTGGGCAGGAGAATTGCTTAAACTCAGAAGACGCGGGTTACAAGATTATACCACTGCACCTCAGCCTGGGTGACAGAGTGAGACCCTGTCTCGAAACAAACAAACAGAAAAGTTACCAAGTTGAAGTGAAGACGGCTTTTCTTCAAGTAAATTTTGTATTGTGCATTTTCATTTCTATATTTATAGGTATTTATAATTTAGGCTTTCCTTTTTAAAATGACAGCAGGTGTGCTGGCTCACGCCTGTAATTTCAACACTTTGGTATGATGGATCACCTGAAGTCAGGAGTTTTGAGATCAGCGTGGCCTACATGGTGGAACCCAGTCTCTACTAAAAGAGAATACAGCTGGCCGGGCACGGTGGCTCACGCCTGTAATCCCAGCACTTTGGGAGGCCGAGGCGGGTGGATCACGAGGTCAAGAGATCGAGACCATCCTGGTCAACATGGTGAAACCCCGTCTCTACTAAAAATACAAAAAATTAGCTGGGCATGGTGGCGCGTGCCTGTAATCCCAGCTACTCAGGAGGCTGAGGCAGGAGAATTGTCTGAACCCAGAAGGCGGAGGTTGCAGTGAGCCAAGATGGGGCCATTGCACTCCAGCCTGGGTAACAAGAGCAAAACTCCGTCTCAAAAAAAAAAAAAGAAAATACAGCTGAGTGGGTGGCTTATACCTGGAATCCAAATACTTTGGGATGCTAAGGCACGTAGATCATGAACCGAGGTCAAGAGATCGAGACATCCTGGACAGCTAAATATTGTATTTTCAGTAGAGATGGGATTTCACCATGTTGGCCAGGCTAGTCTTGAACTCCTGACCTCGTGATTTGCCTGCCTCAGCCTCCCAATGTGCTGGAATGATAGGCGTGAGCCACTGGCTCAGCCTATTTTGTGTTTAATAAGTGTTTTTCTTTATTTCTTTTTCCCAGCAAATTGAAGAATTTTCTGATGTTAACGAAGGAGAGAAAGAAGTAATGAAACTCTGGAATCTCCATGTCATGAAGCATGGGTAGGGTATTTCTAAATCAATTTAACTATTTTGTTATTCTTTATGGTCTTTTGCTGTTTTGCATTCTAGAAATCTGTGTATGTTAGAATCTTATTTAAAATTCCATTATTATGTGCCCCAAATGTTATTCTAGTTCAGTGTGTTTTGGTTTGGTGGGGTTTTTTTTTTTTTTTTTTTTAGGTACAAAGGTATTCCTTTTGAGGCTGGGTGTGGTGGCTCATGCCTGTAATCCCAGTACTTTGGGAGGCTGAGGCAGGCAGATCGCCTGAGGTCAGGAGTTCAAGACTAGCCTGACCAACATGGAGAAACCCCATCTCTTTTTTATTATTTTTGTTTTTTAATTCAGTCTCTGTAGAGACTGTCAAAAATTGCCAATGCTGACTATATTTCAAGTCATCATGGCGGGGTATTGGGAAAAGTTTTCAATCACCAGTAATCAATCGCGCCTCAGATAAACCTCATTGACTATGATACCGCCACTGTGCGAAACTGAGAAACCCCATGTCTACTAAAACTATAAAATTAGCTGGGCAGGGTGGTGTGTGCCTGTATTCCCAGCTACTCAGGAGCTGAGGCAGGAGAATCACTTGAACCTGGGAGGCTGAGGTTGCAGTGAGCCAAGATTGCACCATTGCACTCTAGCCTGGGCAACAAGAGTGAAACTCCGCCTTAAAAAAAGAAAAAGAAAAAAGAATAAAAAATGTTCCTTTTGATACTGTTAAATAAATATTATATTCATTAGTATTCATCAAATCAGGGCAAAAGTTGGGCCTTGTCTTTAGAACTTGTTGCATAGATGTGAATCATTGCAGCATTTTATATCAGTTGTGATTCCATCTCCTTTCAAGAGGAAACGGTACTACAACCCTGCTGTCTTAGGAAAAGATGTCATCATCATAGACCTTCAGAAAACACCGCTGGCCATCCTAACTTTTGTGTTGTGTTTCACCCATGCTTGCAAACCCCATCAGGTTCACACTCAAAACTTATTTTGTAGACCTTGGTACAGTGGTTCATGCCTGTAATCTTAGCACTTTGGGAGGCCAGGGCGGGTGGGTCACCCCGTCTCTACTAAAAATACAAAAATTCACTGGGCGTTGTGGCACACGCCTGTAATTCCAGTTACTCGGGAGGCTGAGGCACTGGAATCACTTGAACCTGGGAAGCAGAAATTGCAGTGAGCCAAGATTGCACCACTGCACTCCTATCCTACCTGGGCAACAAAGTGAGACCCTGTCTTAAAAAACAAAAAAATTTTATAGCCACCTAGGTGGGACCCAGCACCAGGGCTCAGCAGAAGGGAAGACAGAGATGGAGTTTCATTTAATGACCCAATTTTCATTCCTTTTATTGACAGGGAATATAAAAATTGTATGCCATGTGTTACATGTCTGGAAGTCCTGAAAATTTTTAACAGTTGCTTAGTTTTTCAGAAACGTGGCTTTTTGGATTTCTTTTTTACCATTTCATAGAGGTGAAGGTAGCACAATTTTTATTTCTTATTCCTTTGTGGCTAAAAATATGTTACCAGCTGGGTGTGGTGGCTCACACTTGTAACCCTAACACTTTATGATGCCAAGGCAGGAGGATAACTTGAGCTCAGGAATTCAAAACCAATCTTGGCAACGTAGCAAGACCTTGTTTCTGCTAAAAATTTTTTAAAAATACAGTTTCACTTGATTATAAGATCCTTGTTTAAGGCTTTCTTCTACAGCACAAACATTCAAGGTTTTTTCATTTATAGATAAGTGAAATAAATGTTAGGTGGGGGGCAAGGAGTTGGTGGGTAAGTTCTAGTCCAGATGTGTATACATGAGCCATGGCCTATTTTTCAACTGCCTTTGAGCTATGAGTAGTCTTTATATTTTTAATGGATTGTACAAACAAAAAAATCACATGGCTTGCAAAGCCTAAAGTATTTACTCTCTAGCCTTTTATAAAGTTTGCCTGGCTGCTGTTCTAGTCATTAAAATTCACTTAAGTGAAGTATGTATGTGGAGGGTTGGGTTAATCTGTTTTTTTTCTTTTATCTTGACATGCTAGTTTCAAGATATAGTCAAATTACTTTATTCAGTTCTCATTTCGTTCATTGATCCAAATCTATTCATGTAGCAACTTTTGGGGTTCATTGTATAGTGGCATTCTAAAGTGGCAAATAGGCTGATGTTTTAAAACATATAGGGAGGCTTTACACATTTTATGTTGGATTTTCAGTTAGAGAAGTACTGCTTCTGTAATAGGAAAGCATGTCAAGAACAACAGAAAAAATAAAGGGGATTGTTAGTGTGTATAGGGAGAATTAATGGAAGTGGTGCTGGCAAGAGGAAAAAAATATATGTATATTTTGAGACAGGAGTCTCACTGTCGCTAGGCTGGAGTGCAGTGGCGTGATCTTGGCTTACTGCAGCCTCCGCCTCCTGGGTTCAAGTGATTCTCCTCCATCAGCCTCCTGAGTAGCTGGAACTACAGGCACCTGCCACCATGCCGAGCTAATTTTTGTATTTTTAGTAGAGACTGGGTTTCACCATATTGGCTTGGCTCGTCTCCTTCTACTGACCTTGTGATCCACACAACACAGCCTTTCAAAGTGCTGAGATTATAGGCATGAGCCACTGTGACAGGCCTCTAAGATAAAATATTTTATACTTTTAAGGCTGCTTATTTAATTTCATTAAGAACAGAAATTATGCCGCACATGGTGGCACGTGCCTGTAGTCCCAGCTACTCAGGAGGCTTAGGTGAGAGGATCACTTGAACACAGGAGTTCTGGACTATGGTGGCATTATGCTGATCGAGTGTCCACAGTAAGTTTGGCATTAGTATGGTGACCTCCCGGGAGCAGGGGACCACCAGGTTGCCTGAGGAGGGGTGAACCAGCCCAGGTTGGAAATGGAGCAGGTTAGAACTCCCATGCTGATCAGTATTGGGATCGCACCTGTGAATAGCCACTGCACTCCAGCCTGGGCAACATAGCAAGACCCCGTCTCTTTAAAAAAAAAGAAAAACACGCAGAAATTCTATCTACTGTTCTAATGGCACCTGTATAATAAGCTCATTAGATTAAATCTCTTGAAATGTCTAAATGGTAAGCTCATTCAGGTGATTGAATCTCAGTTTCACTATAGTTTTACTGCTTCTTTAATCATCATTCGTTTACTGGAATTGGGTAGAGTCCTATAATTGTTATCACTATTGCATTTGATAGTGCTTTGTATTGCTATTGATGTTTTGTTTCTATTAAATAGGTTTATTGCTGACAATCAAATGAATCATGCCTGTATGCTGTTTGTAGAAAATTATGGACAGAAAATAATTAAGAAGAATTTATGTCGAAACTTCATGCTTCATCTAGTCAGCATGCATGACTTTAATCTTATTAGCATAATGTCAATAGATAAAGCTGTTACCAAGCTCCGTGAAATGCAGCAAAAATTAGAAAAGGGCGAATCTGCTTCCCCTGCAAACGAAGAAGTAACTGAAGAACAAAACGGGACGGCAAATGGATTTAGTGAAATTAATTCAAAAGAGAAAGCTTTGGAAACAGATAGTGTCTCAGGGGTTTCAAAACAGAGCAAAAAACAAAAACTCTGAAAAGATCTAACCCCATATTATGGACAGACACTGAAACTGCATTTTAGGGAATTCATCCTCCAAGAAGAATTATGTTTTTGTTTTTAATCATAGGTTCCAAACAGGCACTGTTAGATGAAGTAAATGATTTCAACAAGGATATTTGTATCAAGGTTCTACTTCATTATGCAGCATTATATGTATATCAGTTTTTTTGATGTCTTGAAACATTCTGTAATTTAAGCATGAAAAGCAATATTTCAAAGAAAGTGTTTTTACATTCAGTTATCAAATATGTTGAATTGGTACTCTAGAAATTATTTCATATATTTAAATTAGAATGTTTTTTGCATTTATGACTGGCTGTTTTTCTACTTAGTAATTGTGAGACAGTTTATTGGGGAGGGAAAATTGGAATGGTTCCCTTTTAGAAATTGAAGTCTTCAGGTATCAACTACAAAAAAGGAGAAAAATAGAAATTGAAGGATTTTTTTTTTTTTTCCTGAGACAGAGTTTTGCTCGTTACCCAGGCTGGAGTGCGATGGTGCAATCTTGGCTCACCACAACCTCCGCCTCCTGGGTTCAGGCAGTTCTCCTGCCTCAGCCTCCTGAATAGCTGGGATTACAGGCATACGCCACCATGCCCAGCTAACTTTTTGTATTTTGAGTAGAGACAGGGTTTCACCATGTTGTCCAGGATGGTATCGATCTCTTGACCTCGTGATCCACCCGCCTCGGCCTCCCAAAGTGCTGGGATTACAGGCTTGAGCCATTGCACCTGGCGAAATTGAAGGATTTTTATGAAATTATATTGTATTACTATTTGCAATCAAACTTTAATCCTTGTTTTTGAAATCATTTATCAATTTGGAATTAAAAATTATAATGTAGGATATTTTATATTACATAAATTCATTTCACAATTTAAAAATAGCACTTCTTCATCTTATGCCTGTTTGAGAAGATACTGATTTTTCACATTGTTGACAGTGAAACGCTAAGTTGGTTTATGAGATTACTTACCATTTGTTTTCATGTGGATAATTTTAGTGCATTGCTCACCCAGGATGTTTTTTTTTTAAACTTGAACATTTTGCTTTTTTTTTTTTAATTTGATAATCAGATGGAAAATAAAGCTGTTCGTATCTTTAAATTAGGATTGCAAACCAAGAGAAGAACATGTCTGAGATTTTAAGATGTCACTTATAAAGGGGAGAAGTGTTTTATAAGAGTGAACCAGAAAACTGTTATACCTTTTATTTCTTTGCAAGGATGTCTTTGTAATGTGTTTCATAAATAGAATATCCAATGCAGATAAGCTGACTTGAATCATTTTGAGCAATTTTGCCCTGTGTTATATGTGTTTCACGCACATATTTGCAGTTGGATTTTCTCCAACAGAAAGTGGTTTCACTACTGGCACATTAACAAGCACCAATAGGTTTTTATTCCAACTCCGAGCACTGTGGTTGAGTAACATCACCTCAATTTTTTATTATCCTTAAAGATAGTGCATTTTCATATTCTTTATTTATAAAGGATCAATGCTGCTGTAAATACAGGTATTTTTAATTTTAAAATTTCATTCCACCACCATCAGATGCAGTTCCCTATTTTGTTTAATGAAGGGATATATAAGCTTTCTAATGGTGTCTTCAGAAATTTATAAAATGTAAATACTGATTTGATTGGTCTTTAAGATGTGTTTAACTGTGAGGCTATTTAACGAATAGTGTGGATGTGATTTGTCATCCAGTATTAAGTTCTTAGTCACTGATTTTTGTGTTAAAAAAAAAAATAGGAAAGAGGGAAACTGCAGCTTTCATTACAGATTCCTTGATTTGTAAGCTCTCCAAATGATGAGTTCTAATAAACTCTGATTTTGCCTCTGGATAGTAGATCTCGAGCATTTATCTCGGGCTTTAATTTGCTAAAGCTGTGCACATATGTAAAAAACAAAATAGGTTATTTTAGGGGAGATGTAGGTGTAGAATTATTGCTTATGTCATTTCTTAAGCAGTTATGCTCTTAATGCTTAAAAGAAGGCTAGCATTGTTTGCACAAAAAGTTGGTGATTCCCTCCCCCAAATAGTAATAAAATTACTTCTGTTGAGTAAACTTTTTATGTCATCGTAAAAGCTGAAAAAAATCCCTTTGTTTCTATTTATAAAAAAAAAAAGCTTTTCTATATGTACCCTTGATAAGATTTTGAAGAAATCATGTAAGATGATAAAGCATTTGAATGGTACAGTAGATGTAAAAAAAATTCAGTTTAAAAGAACATTGTTTTTACATTAAATGTTTATTTGAAATCAAATGATTTTGTACATAAAGTTCAATAATATAAAACCTGTATTCTGTTTTGGGTTTTTTGTTGTTATTATGCATTGTTAATGTGAGCATTACAATTTTAATTTAGATAGCATAGTAAGGATCCAGCCTCAAATGGTGAGTCAGAGCTAATAAGCTAATAATTAGGAAAATCTTAATGCGAAATCCTCCTTTCATCAATTACAAGTAGTATTTATGGTATTACATAAATATTTTAAAATTTATAGTTCAGAGTAATGTCAAGCTATTAGTTACCCACACAGCTATCCATCTTTGGTTGTGGATTTTTTTTTAGTGAAAAAAAAAAAAGGACTTTATCTTGGCCATTTAAAAGCTCATAGAGGCCAGGTGAGGTGGCTCACACCTATAATCCCAATACTTTGGAGGCCGAGGTGGGTGGGTCATGAGGTCAGGAGTTTGAGACCAGCCGGCCTACATGGTAAACACAGTCTCTGCTAAAAATACAGAAACAGCCAGGTGTGGTGGCATGTGCCTGTAATCCCAGCTTCTTGTGAGGCTGAGGCAGGAGAATTGCTTGAACCCAGGAGGCAGAGGTTGTGCTGAGCAGAGATCACACTATTTGCACTCTAGCCTGGGTGACAGAGCAAGACTCCATCTCTGGAAAAAACAGCTCATGGAGTGAGGGCAGGGCATGGTGGCTCATGCCTGTAATCCCAGCACTTTCATTAGGAGGCTGAGGCAGGTGGATCACCTAAGGTCAGGAGTTTGAGACCAGCCTGGCCTACATGGTGAAACTCTCTTTCTACTGAAAATACTAAAAATAGCTGGGCATGGCAGTGGGCGCCTGTAATCCCAGCTACTTAGGAAGCTGAGGGAGGAGAATCGCTTAAGGTGGAGGTTGTAGGGAGCTGAGATCGCATGCCACCATGCCTGGCTAATTTTTTTTGTATTTTTAGTAGAGGAGGTTTCACCATGTTGGTCAAGCTGGTCTCAAACTCCATACCTCCTGATCGGCCCGCCTTGGCCTCCCAAAGTGCTGGGATTACAGGCGTGAGCCACCACACCTGGCTGCTTTTTTTTTTTTTTTTTTTTGAGACGGAGTTTAACTTGTTGCCCAGGCTGGAGTGCCTGGGCATGAATTCAGCTCACTGTAGCCTCCACCTTCCAGATTTGAGTGGTTCTCCTTTCTCAGTCTCCCAAGTAGCTGGGATTATAGGCACATGCCACCGCATTCAGCTACATTTTGTATTTTTTAGTAGAGATGGGGTTTCATCATACTGCTCTGGTCTTGAACTCCAGACCCCAGGTGATCCTCCTGCCTTGGCCTCCCAAAGTGCTGGAATTACAGGCTTGTACTACTGTCTAATCCTGGAATCATTTATGTCCAAACTACTACTACATCCTTTTTCATAACCCAAATAGCGTTTACCTGCTTTTCTAGTGTGCTATATCATTAGTAGGCATCCTTATTCATCTACTGAGTATCTGTGCCAGCACTTTTTCCAGGATCTAGGAATGGGAAGTTGTGTAAGACTAAGATCCTGCTTCAAGGATTCTCCCAGTGCTTATATGTCAAAACTGCAGTCATAGGCCAGGCATAGTGGTTCACTAAAATCCCAGCACTTTGGGAGGCTGAGGCAGATGGATCACCTGAGGTCAGGAGTTCACCAGCCTGGCCAACATGGCAAAACTCCGTCTCTACTAAAAAAATACAAAAATTAGCTGCGCATAGTGGCAGGTACCTGTAATCCCAGCTACTTGGGGGGCTGAGACAGGAAAATCACTTGAACCAGGCAGGCACAGGTTGCAGTGAGCCAAGATTGTGCTATTGCACTCCAGTGTGGGAGACAGAGCAAGACCAAACACTGTGGTTCACACCTGTTATCCTAGCAGTTTGGGAGGCCGAGGCAGGCAGATCACGAGGTCGAGAGATTGAGACTATCCTGGCCAACATGGTGAAACTCTGTCTCTACTAAAAATACAAAAAGTTAGCTGGGTGTGGTGGCGCATGCCTGTAATCCCAGCTACTCAGGAGGCTGAGGCAGAATTGCCTGAACCCAGGAGGCGGAGGTCGCGGTGAGCCGAGATGGGGCCATTGCACTCCAGCCTGGGTAACAAGAGCAAAACTCCGTCTCAAAAAATAATATGGACATCTTAAGATTATATAAACACAGTCTAATGCTAAAAAAACACTTTTTTCCTAATATTGCTTTATATTAATGTATAGAAGTGGCACAGAAAAGTCAATTATTTTATTTCATTTTATTTGAGACAGTCTCACTCTGTTGCTGAGGCTGGAGTGCAGTGGTGCAATCTCGGCTTACAGCAATCTCGACCTCCCAGGTTCAAGCGATTCTCCTGCCTCAGCCTCCCAAGTAGCTAGGACCATAGATACGCGCCACCACACCTTGCTAATTTTTTTTTTTTTTTTTAATAGAGACTAGTTTTCACTAGGTTGGTTAGGCTAGTCTTGAACTCCTGACCTCAAATGATCCGCCTGCCTCAGCCTCCCAAAGTGTTGGGATTACAGGTGTGAGCCACCTGTGGCTGGCCAATTTTTTAAGATTGACGTTAAATTTTATGGGATAGAAGTGTTTGTTAGTTTTACTGAATATGGTTTTTGTTTTTTAAAAAGAAAGTACTAGTCTTACTTAGTTCAAAAGTCTTTATCAGACACCCATATATGAAAAAATGTAGGCTATTAAGTAGGTCCTACACTATTGGATTTCACAGACCAGTAATAAACATTTTTAAATTTTTTTATTTCATATAAAAATATTTACAAACATGGCATCTACTGTTACTTTCAATTTATAAAGGACAGAGAATACAAAAAATAATTTCAGAATAAATGAGTTTTCAACAGAATGAATTTAGATTTATTTTTTAAAAATCAGTTGGGTTGTGGTAGCTAGAGTGGGATGATTCCTTGAGCCCAGGTGTTCCAGACCAGCCTGAGCAACATATTAAGACTCCATCTCTAATTAATTCATTAATTACTATGCAGACCAACCTTTATTTGCTTTGGAGTAGTTTTCCTGTCAGCCTCCACAATAGAATCATCTAATTTCTTTAAAAAGGGAAAAAAGGTCAGGTGCAGTAGCTCACGCTTGTAATCCCAGCACTTTGGGAGGCTGAGGCAGGTGGATCAGGAGGTCAGGAGTTCAAGACCAGCCTGGTCAAGATGGTGAAACCCATCTCTACTAAAAATGAAAAACATTAGCCCAGCATTGTGGCATGTACCTGTACCTGTAATGCCAGCTACTCTGGAGGCTGAGGCAGAGAATCGCCTAAACCCGGGTGGCAGGAGTTGCAGTGAGCCGAGATCATACCACTCACTGCACTTCAGCCTGGGCAACAGAGCGAGACTACCTCAGAAGAAAAAAAAAGAGGGCGGGGGGGAAGCTTAATCTCCCCTGAGACCAACTAAATCAGAATTTTTTTTAACAAAGCTCTCCAGGTGAGTTGAGAACTACTGCTATAAAAGATAGAAGAGGCCGGGCACAGTGGCTCATGCCTATAATCCCAGCATTTTGGGAGGCCGAGGCGGGTGGATCACAAGGTCAAGAGATCGAGACCATCCTGGTCAACAAGGTGAAACCCTGTCTCTACTAAAAATACAAAAATTAGCTGGGCACGGTGGTGTGCGCCTGTAGTCCCAGCTACTCGGGAGGCTGAGGCAAGTGAATTGCTTGAACCTGGGAGGTGGAGGTTGCGGTGAGCCGAGATTGCGCCATTGCACTCCAGTCTGGGTAGCAGCAGCGAAACTCCGTCTCAAAAAAAAAAAAATTGGCTGGGCCTGGTGGCACGTGCCTGTAAGCCCAGCTACTTTAGAGGCTGAGGCACGAGAACCGCTTGAACCCAGGAGGCAGAGGTTGAAGTGAGCTGAGATGACGCCATTGCACTTTATCCTGGACAATAGAGTTAGACTTTTTTTTTTTTTTTTTTACACCTCCACCCACTCAACTCTTTTAAAAAAATCCTGGAATATAACAAAAATAAGAAGACTCTGAAAAATGGCCAACTAGCTAGGGACCTCAGAATACAAGGAATGACACAGTAGTAAGTTCTTTGTGTTTTCTCTTTGCCTTGTGTATCCCAGACTTGGGGCCAGAAAAGCTGGTAACTTGGAAATGTCAATAGGCACAGAACAAAAGCCCCAACAAAAATCTTGCTGTCTTTAGCCAAAGACAAGGAAAGGGGCAGCCTAGCAAGACAGAAAACTTTTAGCCAACAACCACTCTATTCTAGCCAAACACTACTGTACTGAGTTGAACGGTAGCCAACAAAAAGCCATGTCTACATCCCAGAATCTGTAATAGTGACTATTTGGAAAAAGGTCTTTGAGATGTAAGTTAAAGCTGGGCGTGGTGGCTCACGCCTGTAATCCCAGCACTTTGGGAGGCCGAGGTGGGTGGATCATCTGAGGTCAGGAGTTTGAGACCATCCCGGCCAACATGGTGAAAACCCGGTCTCTATTAAAATTACAAAAATAGAGGCCAGGCATGGTGGCTCATGCCTATAACCCTAGCACTCTGGGAGATATGGCGGGAGGATCACGAGGTCAGGAGTTTGCGATCAGCCTGGCCAACATATGTGAAACCCCTCTCTACTAAAAATACAAAAATTTTGCCTGGCATGGTGGTGGGTATCTGTAATCCCAGCTACTTGGGAAGCTGAGGCAGGAGAATCGCTTGAACCCAGGAGGTGGAGGTTGCAGTGAGCCAAGATCACGCCATTGCACTCCAGCCGGGGTGACAGAGTGAGACGCCATTTCAAAAAAAAAAAAAAAAAAAAAAGATCTTGAAAGCAAGAAGAGAAAAATGACATCTTATGTACAAACAAAAATAATTACAACCGGATTTCTCCTCAGAAATGGGAGCCAGAAGGAAGTGGCAAAGTATTCTTCAAGTAATAGGGTAAAAAATAAGAATTGTTGACCCAGGCCGGACTCAGTGGCTCATGCCTGTAATCCCAGCACTTTGGGAGGCGGCCAAGGCAGGTGGATCACCTGAGGTCAGGAGTTCTCCTGACCATCATGGAGAAACCCCTGTCTCTACTAAAAAAACAAACTCAGCCGGGTGTGGTGGGACATGCTTATAATCCCATCTACTCACGAGGCTGAGGCAGGAGAATCACTTGAACCCAGGAGGTAAAGGTTGTGGTGAACTGAGATCGTGCCACTGCACTCCAGCCTGGGCAACAAGAGCAAAACTCTGTCTCAAGAAAAAGAAAAAAAAAAAAAAAAAGAATTGTTGACCCAGAATTCTATGTTCAGTGAAAATATTCTTTAGGGCCAGGAGCAGTGGCTCACATCTACAATCCTAGCATTTTGGGAGGATGGGGTGGGCAGATCACCTGAGGTCAGGAGTTTTAAGACCAGCTTAGCCCACGTGGTGAAACCCTGTCTTTACTAAAAATAGAAAAATTAGCCGGGCATGATGGTACATGCCTAGTCCCAGCTACTTGGGAGGCTGAGGCAGGGGAATCGCTTGAACCCAAGAGGCAGAGGTTGCAGTGAGCTGAGATGCACTGCATTCTAGCCTGGGCAATAGAGTCTCCATTTCAAAAAAAAAAAAAGAGAATCACTTGATCTCAAGAGTTTATCAACCTGGGCAACATAGTGAGACCTCATCTTTACAGAAAATTTAACCATTAGCCTGACATGATGGTGCATGCCTGCAGTCTGAGCTACTCAAGAGTCTGAGGCAGGGGCATCACTTGAGCTCACAAGGTTGAGGCTGTAGTGAGCTATGATCATGCCGCTGTACTCCATCCTGGGTGACAGAGCAAGACCTTGTCTCAAATCTTTGTCTCGATAGATAGCTAGATAGATAGGTAGACAAAGATATATAGTCTCAGCTACTCCAAAGTCTGAAATAAATAAAATATATATGTGTATACATATGCATATATACATATATATATGACCTGTAATCACAACACTTTGGGAGGCTGAGACGGGTGAATTGCTTGACGTCAGGAGTTTGAGACCAGCCTGGTCACCATAGCAACACCCTGTCTCTACTAAAACAAACAAACAAAAAAATTAGCTGGGCATGGTGGTTCGTACCTGTAGTTCCTCAGTTACTCAGGAGGCTGAGGCAGGACAATCACTTGGATCTGTGAGGCGGAGGTTGCAGATCACACCACAGCACTCCAGCCTGAGTGACAGAGCAAGACTCTGTCTCCTAAATAAATAAATAAAACATTCCTCTCGAAACGACTCTTAGTACTAACTAGACAGGAAAAATCAGCAAGAATAAAATAGAACTCAACAATACCATCAACCAACAGTATCTAATCCAAATTTAGAAACATTCCACCCATTAACAGCAGGTTACACAGTGTTTTCAGGTTCCCATAAAACCTGAGTAAGTAAATGGCAGGCTTAAGCCATAACTTCTCAATATGGCATGGTGGCTCATGCCTGTAATCTTAGTATTTTGGGAGGTGGGGGCGGGAAGATCTCGAGGTCAAGAGATCAAGACCATCCTAGCCAACATGGTGAAACCCTGTCTCTACTAAAAATACAAAAACTAGCTGGGTGTGGTAGCATGCACCTGTAGTTCCAGCTACTCAGGAGGCTGAGGCAGGAGAATTGCTTCAATCTGGGAGGCGGAGGTTGCAGTGAGCTGAGATTGCACCCCTGCACTCCAGCCTGGCCAGAGAGCAAGAATCCATCTCAAAAAAACGCACAATAACATTAAATATAAATGGTCTAAGAGGTCAGGATTTCGAGACCAACCTGGCCAACATGGTGAGACCCTGTCTCTACTAAAAATACAGCAACAACAAAAAAACTCCTCAAGTGATCCGCCTGCCTTGGCCTCCCAAAGTGCTGGAATTAGACGTGAACCACTGTGCCTGGCCTACAAATCCAGTTTAGCTCTCTTCTTCATCCCTACTCTCATATCCATCATCATGTCCTTTTTTTTTTTTTTTTTTTTTGGCGGAGTTTCACTCTTGTTACCCAGGCTGGAGTAGTGCAATGGCGCGATCTCCGCCTCCTGGGTTCAGGCAATTCTCCTGCCTCAGCCTCCTCAGTAGCTGGGATTACAGGCACATGCCACTGTGCCCAGCTAATTTTTTGTATTTTTAGTAGAAATGGGGTTTCACCATGTTGACCAGGTTGGTCTCGATCTCTTGACCTCATGATCCACCCGCCTTGGCCTCCCAATGTGTTGGGATTACAGGCGTGAGCCACCACGCACAGCCTCATCATGTCCTTTTAAGTCTAATTCAAATATCTATCTACTGGATATGTATCCCTACTGCCACTGGCTCATTTCACAGTTTAATGTGAAACTTATAATTAAAAATATATATTTTTTTGAGACGGGGTCTTACTCTGTCCCCAGGCTGAAGTGCAGAGGCACGATATAGGCTTACTGCAGCCTCGAATTCCCAGGCTCAAGTGATTCTCCCACCTCAGTCTCCTGAGTAGTTGGAACTACAGGTGGGCACCACCACACCTGGCTTATTTATTTATTTTTTTTTTGAGATAGTCTCATTCTGTTGCCCTGGTTGTAATGGCACAACCTTGGATAACTGCAGCCTCCACCTTCTGGGATCAAGCAATTCTCCCACCTCAGCCTCCTGAGTAGCTGGGACTACAGGCGTGTGCTACGATGTCAAGCTAATTTTTGTATTTTTAGTAGACACGGGGTTTCACCATGTTGGCCAGGCTGGTCTTGAACTCCTGACCTCCAGTGATCCGCCTGTCTACGCCTCCCAAAGTGTTGGGATTACAGGTGTGAGCCATTGCGCCTGGCCATATTTTTAAGTAAATAAAAAACAGCTAGGGGTGGCCGGGCGCAGTGGCTCACGCCTATAATCCCAGCACTTTGGGAGGCCAAGGCAGGTGGATCACGAGGTCAAGAGATTGAGACCATCCTGGTCAACATGGTGAAGCCCCGTCTCTACTAAAAATACAAAAAAATTAGCTGGGCATGGTGGTGTGCACCTGTTGTCCTAGCTACTTGGGAGGCTGAGGCAGGAGAACTGCTTGAACCCAGAAGGCGGAGGTTGTGGTGAGCCGAGATCGTGCCATTGCACTCCAGTCTGGGTAACAACAGTGAAACTCCATCTCAAAAAACTAAAACAAAACAAAACAAAAAAACAGCTAGGCGTAAGCCACCATGCCCAGCCAAATAATCAGTTCTTATGCTTGTATCATCACGCAAATTCTTCCTTCCTGGCACATAGGTTTGGAATACGAGGTTTCCTATTTGAACAGAATGAGTTCACAGTTAAAGAAAAAAATCAATATTTAAATTACTTTCAATGCTGGGCATGGTGGCTCATGCCTGTCATCCCAGAATTTTGGGAGGCTGAGACAGGAGGATCACTTGACGCCAGGAGTTTGAGACCAACCAGATCAACATGACAAAACCCCATCTCCACTAAAAGTATAAAAATTAGCTGAGTGTTTGTTTACATTGTGTTAAAACAAAAAAGAAAAATAAAAAAATAATTAGCTGGGGTTAGTGGTGCACACCTGCAATCCCAGCTACTTGGGAGGCTGAGACAGGAGAATCACTTGAACCCAGGAGGTAGAGGTTGCACTGAGCCAAGATTGCATCACTGCACTCCAGCCTGGGCAACAAAGTGAGATTCCAATCTAAAAAAAAAAAAAAAATAGTTTCAGAGTTCCAAATATTATCACTCCTGTCTCAAGTTAGGTTTAAGGCATGTCTGTAAACAGGGAGATTCTATACATATAAATTAAGATGCCATTTCCCTAGAGAGGCTAAGAAACAAATACATTCAACAAGTATTTGATGAATTAAAGGAATGAGATGAAGATGATTTGTAGAAAACAACTCGTCTATCCTCATTCGATCCAATGATTCCTTCTGCACACATTGTGTCAGGCAAGAGGCTCAGTATCAGACAGAGAATACAGAAAGTACAAGTAACCAGCTGGGTATGGTTGCTCATGCCTGTAATCCCAGCATTTTGGGAGGCCAAGGCTGGGGAGGATTGCTTGAGGCCAGGAGTTCAAGACCAGCCTGGGCAACAAAGCTAGACCCTCATTCTCTACAAAAAAACAATAAAAAATATTTTTTAAGAAGAAAGTACAAATAACCTTTCACAAGTTACAATGATATTTTATCAAAATGCCTGGAGCCACAAGAAGCCCGTTTTCCCTTCTGATGAAAGGTAGATTAAAACTGGATTAATCATATCTCACAGAAGAAAAAAGTACACACATTGAGCTTTTAGTTTTTTATTTTGATTCTGATGGATGGATTCTGGGTGACAATGGTATCTACATTCTGGAACATCTTCTTAATCCCTAAACAAGTGAAAATCTACTTACTTATACATAAAAAGACAAGGAGAAAAGGTTATGATTGTCTAACAGGGAACATGAATTCCCAAATAAATTATCTTACAAAAATATCATACTTGCTTTTCTATTTTTTTACTACTGGTAAAAATGAAAAAAATAATTCACATTAAAATAAAATCTTTAGGCTGGCATAGCAAGACAATTGCTTTTACATATTAAAGTCTTTCAAATAAATATTTTACACACGAATTTAAGTTTTTGAAAAAAATAGGTTATTTCCTATATTTTTTTGGTCTGCTAAGAGACCACTTATCAAACTGACATTAAACTGGACTACAGGTCATACTCTGCAAAGAGTAAAATGCATGTCACAGGCAGGTTGGATACACACATGGGCATAATTCATACATTCGAAATGGCTAACACTCCTGTGCATACTACTTCCATAAGTAGCTTTACCCTGTAAAAATACTGTAGCCTAGGCTGGGCAGGGTAGCTCATGCCTGTAATCCCAGCACTTTGGGAGGTGGAGGTGGGCGGATCATTTGAGGTCAGGAGTTGGAGACCAGCCTGACTGACATGGTGAACCTCATCTCTACTAAAAATACAAAAAAATTAGCCTAGTGTGATGGTGGGTGCCTGTCGTCCCAGCCACTTAGGAGGCTGAGGCAGGAGAACTGCTTGAACCTGGTGGGCAGAGGTTGCAGTGAGCTGAGATCGTGCCACTGCACTCCAGCCTGGGTGACAGAGCAAGACTTCATCTAAAAAAAAAAATAATTAAATTTAAAAAATACTGTATAGCCTATACTGATTCAAACTGCAACGGAAGAACAAAAGGTAATACTTGCCTATTACAGACACTCGCTCAGGCATTTTTAAAAAATGCAAAACTTGGTCAGGTACAGTGGCTCACACCTGTAATCCCAGCACTTTGGGAGGATGAGGTGGGTGGATCACCTGAGGCTAGGAGTTTGAGACCAGCCTGGCTAACATGGTGAAACACCGTATCTACTAAAAATAAAAAAATTAGCCAGGTGTGGTGGCAGGCACCTGTAATCCCAGCTACTTGGGAGGCTGAGGCAGAAGGATCACTTGAACCTGGGAGCCAGAGGTTGCAGTGAGCTGAGATCACGCCATTTCATCCAGGCTGGGTGACAAGGGCAAGACTCCATCCCCACCCTCCCACCCCCACCGTGAAAAAAAGAAAAAATAATAATGTTTTAGGGACCTAAAGATTATTGAAGATGGGATAAAAGTCAACACTGCTTACAAATACCTGAACATGGAGAGCACAGTCAACACATTCATGTGGACAGCATATGAGCAAAGTAATACATTACACAGCTTCTGATCTCTTCCTCTTGTATTATTCTAAAGAGACTTGGATCCTTTATGATGATTTAAAAAATAATATTACATTAAGTTTTCCTGGTCTAATAACCAACTTTAAGAAGTACAGTGGAAGGGTATAGAACTTTCTACATCTTCTCATACTTTTAAAGCCAATTTGGTTTTTATTATGATGTAATACTTTAGTTAACAGTATGCTAAAAAAAATTGACTGAATTATGATTTTGTCCACAACATTTAAGTCTCTTTTTGCTAAAATATTACAAAATGAATCCAGTAAACACTTTCCATATCCAATGGCCTAGGTTAGAGATGAATTCAACTTTACAAAAAAAAAGCGATTACAATCACACTGGGCTGCAGACAGCTAGGTTAAACCCTGAAAACAAAAGCCAAGCACTCAAACATCTAAAACACTAACACTTTCCATCCAGGATAGAAAAATGAGCATCCAAAGTAAAGAGAACCACAAGATTGATCAAGTAACCAATCAAAAACCACTTCTCTGTTATTTGAACTTATAGTTACTCGAAGCTTGAAGTTTCCACCTTCACTATTATTGGTGGTTCCTAGAGTCACGGCTTCAATGTCAAATGTGACAGTGGACCCAGAAGTAACTGCAGGTAACTGATTTGTCATTTCTTTTCCATTGACAAAAACTGTTCCTAAAATGTTAAGGTAAAGAGACATTTACATGTGAGCAATAACTAAGAGACCTGAAATAGTTTCTAATTACTGGTAACATAGCTAATTTGCTAATTCAGATTTAAAAAAAAAAACAAAAACTGGACTTAGCTTTTAGAGTTCTGGTGCAGGACTCTACTCTTTGTTTTTGTTTTTTTCCTTTTTTTGGACATGACTACTGCAGTACAGGGCTCTACTCTTCCAGTAGAGACTATGAGTTTCCCATATCAATGTCATGAAAAGAAACTTGACAGTGTTACAAAATTACTTCCTGTGCAATAGCAAGTCTGTTTCCTATGGAATAAACAAGAATCTTATTCTGCGTAATTCTTAACAACACAATTTTTTTTTTTTGAACGGAGTTTCATTCTTGGCTCACTGCAATCTCTGCCTCCCGGGTTCAAGTGATTCTCCTGCCTTAGCCTCCTGAGTAGCCGGGATTACAGGCATGCCCACCTAATTTTGTATTTTCAGTATAGATGAGATTTCTCCATGTTGGTCAGGCTGGTCTCAAACTCTGGATCTCAGGTGATGTACTTGCCTGGGCCTCCCAAAGCGGTGGGATTATAGGTATAAGCCACCACACCTGGTCCCCCCCGCTTTTTTGGGATGGAATCTCACCGTGTCAGTGGCACAATCTTGGCTCATTGCAACCTCCGACTCCTGGATTGAAGCAATTCTCCTGCCTCAGCCTTCTGAGTAGCTGGGATTATAGGTGCATGCCACCATGCTCCACTAATTTTTGTATTTTTAGTAGAGATAGGGTTTCACTGTGTTGGCCAGGATGGTCTCCATCTCTTGACCTTGTGATCTGCCCACCTGAGCCACCCAAAGTGCTGGAACTACAGGCATGAGCCACCACACCCGGCCAACAACACAAAATATTAACATGTCTTGCTAGTAATTTTTAAAGAGCACTAGAGATGTACACTGAATGATTTATTTGTAAAGAGTTTAGAACAATGCCTGGTACATAGTAGTTACATAAATCATGCCATTAAGACCAAAGCTTTCAGCCAGTCATGGTGGATGACACCTGTAATCCCAGCACTTTTGAAGGCCAAGGTGGGAGGATTGCTGGAAACCAGGAGTCAAGACCCACCTGGGCAACAACTTATCTTTACAAAAAAGTAAAAATAAAAATAAATTAGCCAGACAAGGTGGCATTCACCTGTAATCCCAGCTACTCAGGAAGCTGAGGTGGGAGGAACGCTTGGGTCCAGGGGTTTGAGGCCTGTGCAGGGAGCTATGATCATGTCACTGTGCTCCAGCCTGGGTGATGGAGTGAGATTTCATTAAAAAAAAAAGAAAAAGAGGGCCAGGCGCGGTGGCTCACGCCTGTAATCCCAGCACTTTGGGAGGCCGAAGCGGGTGGATCATGGTCAAGAGATTGAGACCATCCTGGCCAACATGGTGAAACCCCTCTCTACTAAAAATACAAAAAATTAGCTGGGCATGGTGGTGTGTGCCTGTAATCCCAGCTACTCAGGAGGCTGAGGCAGAATTGCCTGAACCCAGGAGGCAGAGGTTGCGGTGAGCCGAGATCACGCCATTGCACTCCAGCCTGGGTAACAAGAGTGAAACTCCGTCTCAAAAAAAAAAAAAAAAGACCTAAATTTTCTCATCACCTACTACAAATGTGTGAAAATGGCAAAGATTCATATATTACTATAATAATTCATATATTTCCAAGAGAATGACAGTTATTCATCTCTTACCATTTGTACTAATGCACACAGCTTGATCCCGCTGCAGAGAGTCATATCCATCCTGTTTTTCTGCACACACTCCTATGCTATCTCTTCTGTCTGGTTGTCCCACAGTTTCAACTCTGTAAATGAAGTAGAAAGGTCATTTCATACTTTTTTATTCTGAGACAGAGTCTTTGCTCTGTCACCCAGGCTGGAGTGCAGTGGCGCGATCTTTGCTCACTGCAACCTCTGCCTCCTGGTTTAAGCAATTCTCCTGCCTCAACCTCCTGAGTAGCTGGGACTACAGGCACATATCACCACGCACGGCTAAATTTTGTATTTTTAGTAGAGACGGGGATTCACCATGTTGGTTAGGCTGGTCTCAAACTCCTGACCTCATAATCTGCATCCCTTGGCCTCCCAAAGTGCTGAGATTACAGGTGTGAGCCACCGAGACCAGCCCATTTCATACTTTTAAAATGCAACATGAATGATACCTAATAACTACTAGCTTAAAAAGAACAATCTTACCACATTTTTTTTTCTAAATAATAATAGCAATCACGATTGAGTTCTTGCTATACTTCAGGCACTGTTCTAATTTTTTTATATCTACCTTCTCACAGCAATTTATGAGGTAGGTGGTATTATTATTATGAAAAAAAATACAAAAATTGGCTGGGCATGGTGAAACCCTGTCTCTATTAAAAATACAAAAAAATTAGCAGAGTGTGGCGTTGGGCGCCTGTATTCCCAGCTACTTACGAGGCTGAGGCCGGAGAATCGCTTGAACCTAGGAGGTGGAGGTTGCAGTGAGCAGAGGTCGCACCACTGCACTCTAGTTTGGGAGACAGAGCAAGATTCCATCTCAAAAAAAAAAAAATAAAAGGCAGTAACAGCCTACCTCCTACACTATTAGGATTAAAGAATGCTGTTAGCACCTAAAGCACCTTCTCTTTTTTTTAGAGACAGGGGTGTCACTCTGTCACCCAGGCTGGAGTGCAGTGGCACATTCTTGGCTCACTGTAGTCTCTGCCCCCTGGACTCAAGTGATCCCTCCACCTCAGTCTCCCAAGTAGCTGGGACTACAGGTGCATGCCACTTTTAACAGCCAGCTTTCTGTTTCTCTCTTTGAAGTCTTGCTCTGTCACCTCTCAGGTTCAAGCAATTCTCCTGCCTCATCCTCCTGAGTAGCTGGGATTACAGGCACATACCACCACACTCAGCTAATTTTTGTATGCTTTCTCTTTTTATTTAATTAATTAATTAAATAAATAATTTTTGAGATAGAGTTTTGCTCTTGTTGCCCAGGTTGGAGTGCAATGGTGCAATCTTGGCTCACTGCGATATTGGCTCACTGCAACCTCTGCCTCCCAGGTTCAAGCAATTCTCCTGCCTCAGCCTCCAGAGTAGCTGGGATTACAGGCATGTGCCACCATGCCCAACTAATTTTGTATTTTTAGTAGAGATGGGGCATCTGCATGTTGGCCAGGTTGGTCTCCAACTTCCGACCTCAGGTGATCCACCCGCCTCGGCCTCCCAAAGTGCTAGGATTATGGGTGTGAGCCACTGCGCAAGGTAGACTTTCTCTCTTTTTAAAGAGAAAAGTAGTGGTAAAGAGAAACTTAAAATATGGTTAAAAAATAAGATCCGCTGGGCGTGGTAGCTCACACCTGTAATCCCAGCACTTTGGGAGGCCAAGGTGGATGGACCACTTGAGTTTAGGAGTTCGAGACCAGCCTGACCAATATGGTGAAACCCTGTCTCTATGAAAAAAAAATACAAAAATTAGCTGGGTATGGTGGCGCATGCCTGTAATCCCAGCTAATTGGGAGGCTGAGGCGTGAGAATCACTTCAATCCAAGAGGTAGAGGTTGCAGTGAGCCAAGATCATCGTTCCATTGCATTCCAGCCTGGGCATCAGAGTGAGACTCCTTCTTGGGGAAAAAGAAAAAAACAGGGCTGGGTGTGGTGGCTCACACCTGCAATCCCAGCACTTTGGGAGGCGGTGGTAGACAGATCACTTGAGCTCAGGAGTTCAAGACCAGCCTGGGCAACATGGTAAAACCCCATCTCTACAAAACATACAAAAATTAGCCGGGTGTGATAGTACTCCTGTAATCCCAGCTACTCAGGAGGCTGAGGTGAGAGGATTGCTTGCATCTGTGAAGTAGAGGTTACAGTGAGCTGAGATCATGCCACTGCACTTCAATCTGGGTGACAGGGTGAGACCTTGTCTTAAACAAAAAGTGGGGAGAGCTGGGGAGGGGAATGAGAAAGAAAATAAACCTTTTTAAAAAAAATCAGAAAATCTGAGAAATAAGCAAAGAGCAAGAATGTTCACACAGGAAGTCAGGGAGACTTGGAAGGAGAGGTGTACTAGCAGACCTGAGCATCTAATGAGAGTGCGTCTAGAGACTGTTACAATCCAGCCAGTAACACAGGTTTCTCTGGTTACGGCAGCTCTAAGCCTTACAGAAACTTCAGCAGGGACCAACTGGGCTAAATAACAAAGTATAGTCTCCCTTCTAACTACTAGGTCCTTAAGCACCCTCAAAAAACTAAATATTGTTTCTCTTGATTCAAGTAGGCCTACTTGCTCCTCCCTTATGCATGGAGTCCTCTTGCATTCATATCTCTGGCTTCAATGCCAATGCCTGAAATTCCTTTAAACAAGGGGAGAAAACGTTTTCGTTCCACAGTCAAAGAAAAACATGACAAAAATGCAAAAGGCTTGCTACGACAATAGTGAGTTGAATGGAACTTCAGGTCATCACCCTGCAAAGTGGGGCCTGATGATGCATTTTTAGGAGAGGCCAACAGACGAACAGTTTATTGAGACCTACTACGTCTTTCACATCATGGTCGGCAGGAGTGAATTTTAATCAATTTGTATAATTTCCAAGGTCTTAGTAAATATTTACTGAATGATTTAAGAAATAGGCTGGGCGCGGTGGCTCACGCCTGTGATCCCGGCACTTTGGGAGGCTGAGGCGGGTGGATCACGAGGTCAGGAGATCGAGACCATCCTGGTCGGCATGGTGAAACCCCGTCTCTACTAAAAATGCAAAAAAAAATTAGCTGGTTATGGTGGTGCGTGCCTGTAATCCCAGCTACTCAGGAGGCTGAGGCAGGAGAATTGCCTTTCGAACCCAGGAGGCGGAGGTTGCGGTGAGCTGAGATCACGCCATTGTACTACAGCCTGGGTAACAGGAGCGAAACTCCATCTCAAAACAAAAAGGGAAAAAAAAAGAAATAAACCTAAGTAGCAATCTATCAGACATTACCATGTATCCAAGGAGGAAGAATTTAAAAAGCAGGAGAGCATCAGATCAAGTGGTAAAAGGTCATACGAGGTAAAAGTCATACTAAGGATACAGTAATAGAGGAACTGTAGACTTCAAGAGTGACTAGAATCATGTTTACTCTCCCATGAAAAAGATGAAAAAGAAGCAATACAGACCAGTCTGGATTTAAATCCTAGCTTTAGCATAGCTGTGACACTGGGTAAATAATTTCTCTGTGCCTCCATTTCTGGATCCCTAAAATAAATAACTAAATCTATCTCACTGGGTTACTATGAAAATCAAATGAGTTAACAGAAGTTAAGACAACACATGGCACATAGTAAATATTATTTAAAGTCTGGCGCGGTGGCTCACGCCTGTAATCCCAGCACTTTGGAAGGCCGAGGCAGGTGGATCACAAGGTCAAGAGATCGAGACCATCCTGGTGAGAGATGGTGAAACCCCGTCTCTACTAAATATGCAAAGAAGTTAGCTGGGCATGGTGGCGTGTGCCTGTAACCCCAGCTACTCAGGAGGCTGAGGCAGGAGAATTGCCGGAACCCAGGAGGCGGAGGCTGCGGTGAACCGAGATCGTGCCATTGCACTCCAACCTGAGTAACGAGAGCGAAACTCTGTCTCAAAAAAAAAAATTATTTAAATACTAATTGCAATTATTATCATTATTTTAGTCTGAGATCCAGTTAGGAAGCTCTGTCATTGCACAGAAACACCTTGTTCTCAGGAGAGTCACTAATGGAAATGTTTCTGTAAAGAAGGGACATAAGCAGAGGAGTATGTTAGTGCAGAAAACTCATGATTACCTGGGGAATAATTAAATAGTTAGGTATTAGTCTTTTTTTCTCTCTCTTTCTCTTTGTTGATATTTTTCTGGTTAGAGTCACTCTTTCTTCATTAAGGGGTGAGAAGAGGTATCAAAAATTAGACAAAATATAAACTAGTCTATTCTGACAACTGCTAATAATTCAAATTACTTAGCTGGAGAGGAACATAGCAACATTGGCTTAGATAAAACATTCAGATACTCTCCATGCCTTAAATAATAAGCGCATGAGAACAAGAGGAACTCAGGTCAAGCATTTACAATAAAATTTCATCTCAAGACTTAAAAAACTTAGAGGAGAGCTTGTTACACTAACATGAGTATGGTGAAAATCAGGCAAACTTTACTTCTTTAAGTCAAAACTGATCTTTGGTTTTTAGGAAGAGCTATTTAGAAACATGACCGTAAAGAGTACATCTCAGGCCAGACAAGGTGGCTCACGCCTGTAATCCCAGAACTTTGAGAGGCCGAGGCGGGTGGATCACAAGGTCAGGAGTTCGAGACCAGCCTGACCAACATGGTGAAACCCCATCACTACTAAGAATACAAAATAGCTGGGCATGGTAGCGTGTGCCTGTAGTCCCAGCTACTCGGGAGGCTGAGGCAGGAGAATTGCTTGAACTCAGGAGGTAGAGGTTGCAGTGAGGCGAGATTGTGACACTATACTCCAGCCTGGGCGACAAGAGCAAGACTCCATCCAAAAAAAAAAAAATTATATCTCAGGTAACACGAACAGATTCGCTCTGTCAACAGGTGCCAGGCTGGAGTGCAGTGGTGCGATCTCAGCTCACTGCAACCTCTGCCTCCCAGGTTCAAGCAATTCTCCTGCCTCAGCCTCCTGAGTAGCTGGGACTATAGGTGCATGCCACCACACCCAGCTAATTTTTTTATTTTTTTAGTAGAAACGGGGTTTCACCATGTTGGCCAGGATGGTCTCGATCTCTTGACCTCGTGATCCGCCTCCCTCAGTCTCCCAAAGTGCTGGGATTACAGGCGTGAGCCACCGCACTTGGCCACTTTCAGTTTTACTTTACAGAGTAGCATATTTTTTTTTTAAGCCAGTCAAATTTAGCAGTGGGGGCAGAGTAGCATATTAATATGTTTATAGTGTTATCTCTGCAGAGATATACTCTTAGTGATTCACAAAGGACAAAATAAATTCTTGGCCTCTCTCTCTCTATATATATATTTTTTTTTTGAGATGGAGTCTTGCTCTGTCGCCAGGCTGGAGTTTAGTGGCGCAATCTCAGCTCACTGCAATCTCCGCCTCCCAGATTCAAGTGATTTTCCTGCCTCAGACTCCTGAGTAGCTGGGATTACAGGCACAAGCCACCACACCCAGGTAATTTTTGTATTTTTAGTAGAGATGGAGTTTCACCATATTGGCCAGGATGGTTTCAATCTCCTGACCTCGTAATCCGCCAGCCTCAGCCTCCCAAAGTGCTGGGATTGCAGGTGTAAGCCATTGCACCTGGCCTAATTTTAGTATTTTTAGTAAACACGGGGTTTCACCATGTTGGTCAGGCTGGTCTCGAACTCCTGACCTCAGGTGATCTGCCCACTTTGGCCTCCCAAACTGCTGTGATTACAGGCATGAGCCACCGCACCTGGCCTCTTAATTTTTATTTATTTATTTTTTCGAGATGGAGTCGCACTGTCGCCCAGGCTGGAGTGCAATGGCATAATCTTGGCTCACTGCAACATCCGCCTCCTGGGTTCAAGCGATTCTTCTGCCTCACCCTACCATGTAGCTGGTACTACAGGCACCTGCCACCATTCCTGGCTAATTTTTGTATTTTTAGTAGAGATGGTGTTTCACCATCTTGCCAGAATGGTCTTCAACTCCTGACCTTGTGATCAAACCACTTCGGCCTCTCAAAGTGCTGGGATTACAGGTGTGAGCTGTCAGACCTGGCTTTTTTTTTTTTTTAGACAAAGTCTCACTCTGGTGCCATCTCAGCTCACTACAATCTCTGCCTCTCAGGTTCAAGCGATTCTCCTGCCTCAGCCTCCCGAGTAACTGGGATTACACACGTGTACACCACCAGGCCTAGCTAATTTTTGTATTTTTAGTAGAGACAGGGTTTTGCCATGTTGGGCAGGCTGGTCTCGAACTCCTGACCTCAGGTGATCCACCCACCTTGGCCTCCCCAAGTGCTGGGATTACAGGCGTGAGCCACCTCGCCCGGCTGCCTCTAAATTTTTAATATTCATGTTTGAGAGATATTCTACTTACCTCTACTTACCAAGAGGAAAAGAGACATAAACATATTAAACATCAAGCATTTTATATACATTTCCCAGTTAATCTACATAATAATCCTATGAATACAGATGAGAAAACTAAAGCTGAAGGAAATAAAGAAGTCTTCCCACAGTAACACTGCCTATAAATGATGGAATAAGCTCAGGATGCTTTGAATTGAAAGCTCATGTATGCTCTGTGCACTTCACTCTGCTTCCTGAGGCAGGTGAGATGTTTTGGTATCTACTTGCCTGAATGTTAATGTCTGCCCACAGAAATAAGTTGGAGCTCTGGAGTAGAGAACACCTGATGATTCAGAATCGTTCCGGAGTGCTATATTTCTTCGACTGCTCAGACTGTACCCCTCAAAGCCAGCTGTCCACTCTTTTTAAAAGCAAAGATATTGAAAACTGTTAGAATCTCTTGAGGAATATCTTCAATACAGACACATTAAATAAAACATGAAAATGGGAAAGACTACTCATAGGGGCCATAGTCAAGTTCAATAAAAGAAAAGAAAAGATTCCACTAATAGAGTATCAAGATGAGTCCCACACATTATAAAAAAGATTTTAGTACATTCCTGCATAATTTTGGCATAATAAATCAAGTAAGTGTTATCTCCTACCTAATAAAATCACAGTTCAAACATAATTGCTTGAACTTATTCCAACCTGATAAAAATCTAATTAATAAATGAGTCTACATCTTCTAAAAAAGAATGCAGGAGAGAGATAAATTTCAAATCATAAGGCTTTTAAGAAAATGTTCCTCTCCAGATATTCCTTGAGGGTTTGGAAAATCAGCATCAGCTGGGCACAGTGGCTCATGCCTACAATCCCAGAATTTTGGGAGGTCAAAGCAAGAGGATTGCTTAAGCCCAGGAATTCAAGACCAGCCTGGGCAACATAGCAGACCCCATCTCAACAAAAAAATAAAAAATTAGCCAGGCATAGGGGTGCACACAGGTGGTCGCAGCTACTTGGGAGGCTGAGGCAGGAGGACCTCGAGGTCAGTCTGCAGTGAGCCATGACTGTACCACTGCATGCCAGCCTGGGTGACAGAGCAAGACCTTGTCTCAAAAAAACTAAACAAATAAAATTAAAATTAAAAAAAGAAGGGCCGGGTGTGGTGGCTCATGTCTGTAATCCAAGCACTTTTGGAGGCCAAGGCAGGCGGATCACCTGAGGTCGGGAGTTCAAGACCAGCCTGGCCATCATGGTGAAACCCCATCTTATTTAAAAAAAAAAAGAAGGCCGGGTGCGGTGGCTCAGGCCTATAATCCCAGCACTTTGGGAGGCCGAGGCGGGTGGATCACAAGGTCAAGGGATCGAGACCATCCTGGTCAACAAGGTGAAACCCCGCCTCTACTAAAAATACAAAAATTAGCAGGGCATGGTGGCGCGCACCTGTAGTCCCAGCTACTCAGGAGGCTGAGGCAAGAGAACTGCTTGAACCCAGGAGGCGGAGGTTGCAGTGAGCCGAGATCGCACCATTGCACTCTAGCCTGGGTAACAAGAGCGAAACTTGTCTCAAAAAAAAAAAAAAAGAAGAAGAAGAAGAAGAAGAAGAAGAAGAAGAAGGCCCGGTACAGTGACTCACACCTGTAATCCCAGCACTTTGGGAGGCCGAGCCAGGCGGATCACGAGGTCAAGAGATCATGACCATCCTGGCCAACATGGTGAAACCCCGTCTTTACTAAAAAATACAAAAACTGGCCGGGCGCGGTGGCTCACGCCTATAATCCCAGCACTTTGGGAGGCTGAGGCAGGCGGATCACAGGTCAGGAGATTGCGACTAGCCTGGCCAACATGGTGAAACACTGTCTCTACTAAAAATACAAAAATTAGCTGGCATGGTGGTGTGTGCCTGTAGTCCCAGCTACTCAGGAGGCTGAGGCAGGAGAACTGCTTGAACCCAGGAGGCAGAGGTTGCAGTGAGCCGAGATTGCGCCATTGCACTCCAGTCTGGCACCTGGTGACATAGCGACACTCTGTCTCAAAAAAAAAAAAAAAAAAATTAGCTGGATGTGGTGGCACGCACCTGTAGTCCCAGCTACTCGGGAGGCTGAGGCAGGAGAATTGCTTGAACCCAGGAGGCGGAGACTGCTGTGAGCCGAGGTTGTGCCACTGCACTCCAGCCTGGTGCCTGGTGACAGAGCAAGACTCTGTCTCAAAAAAAAAAGAAGAATAAAAATAATTATGAGTGTCCTACACAATATTTTCAATCTTTGGTTTTTAGTGAGGTTAAAAATCTCATCCAGCATTTTGGACTCTGAAGATAAGAACTGATGAAAACAAAAATCACATGAAGTAATCTGTGTAAAAGACATGGTGCATGTTGTTCTTATCAATTCAGGATCTATGCTTAGAATAGCTGGTTGTCAGGAGGCAGAAGCTGCAGTGAGCCAAGATCATGCCACTGTACTCCAGCCTGGCGAAAGAGTGAGACTCCATCTCAAAAAAAAAAAAAAAAAAAAAAAGAATAGCTGGTTGTCAGTGTCCTGACCTTAGCACAGATGACAAGTATTCTAATACACAGTTAGGCTTCAGGAGAGAAAAGATTAGCAGCATACCATGAGGCACCAATGTAGAATGACCTATCTGGGGGACGCTCCAAGGACTCCACTCCTGTCGGCCGTCTCCTCGGGCACAGACTCTGAACTGATAATCAACATTGGGGTCTATGTGCAATACTATGAATTCAGTTTCAGAACCTACATATACATCCTCAAAATGATTTGAAGTAGATTTACGAAACTGGAGCCTATAATCTTGGGCTGTAAAGTCATCATCCACCTAGGGAGAAAAACTTTATGTGAGGTAAAAAACAGAAAATGACTTCTCTCAGCATCACTGCTTAAAAACTTTGAATGGAGCTACTTTGGACCAAGCAGACAGGCCCACATGCTGAATATGGGGTATTCTTGAGAAGGCCATAGGAAATATGCCATCACATCATTATCTCCTTTTTTTTTTGAGACAGAGTCTCACTTTGTTACCCAGTCTGGACCTCAGTGGTGCGATCTCGGCTCACTGCAGCCTTGACTTCCCGGGTTCAAGCCATCTTCCTCTCTCAACCCAAGTAGCTGGGACTACAGACGCACATCCCCATGTCCAGTTAATTGTTTGTAGAGACGGGGTTTCACCGTATCTCAGGTCTTGAACTCCTGAGCTCAAGAAATCTTCCTGTCTCAGCCTTTCAAAGTGCTATGATTACAGGTGTCAGCCACTGTGCCTGGATTCCCTTCTTTTCTTTATTGGATCATGTGTTCTATACTTCTCAGTCTGACATAAAAATGTCTGCTTCCTTTGAAGAAATGGCATGTTTTCTAATCAATGCCAAAGATAAAACATTCAAGATTCAATTTTAAGTTTGCCACAACTATACATCACTCATAATAACCAAGAGATAGGGGTGCCAGGCATAGGGGTGCACGCAGGTGGTCCCAGCTACTTGGGAGGCTGAGGCAGGAGGATCTCGAGGTCAGGCTGCAGTGAGCCAATGATTGTACCAAGAATTAATTAACATATAGTATACAGGACCCCCATTAATTTTTAGGGCTTCTGTATATATTCTGTATGTTAATTTAATTAGCCACCCAATAGAAAAATGGGTAAAAGACATACATAAGCATTCTACAGGATAAGAAATATAGATAGCCAAAAATATACATTATAAATATTCACCCTAATTTGTAATATGGAAAATACAACCTAAAAACCACAAGGCAAGAAGTGGTGGCTCATGTCTATAATCCTAACACTTTGAGAGGCAAAATCAGGTGGAACACTTGAGCCCAGGAGTTCGAGGCCAGCCTGGGCAACATGGCAAAACCTCATCTCTAGAAAAACTAACAAAAATGAGCTGTGTGTGCAAGCACATGCTTGTAGTCTCAGTTACTTGGGGCTAAAGCAGGAGGATCACTTGAGCCCAGGAGGTCAAGGCTGTAGTGAACGTGATTATGCCACTATACTCCAGCCTGGGTGACAGAGTGAGACCCTGTCTCAAAAACAAACAAACAATTAAATAAAATAAAACCACAACAAGTCACATTTAGGCAAAAATATAAAGTCTCACAATGCCAATTATTGGTCAAGATATAGACTAACAGAAACTCACATACTGCCTGGAAGGCTAAAATGATACAATCATCTTGTAGATAGTCTGTTATTACCTATTAGCATATGGATCAAATACTCTAAGAAGACCTCATAATTTTACAGCTAGGTAAATATTAATATTTTACAAGTTTCACATATGTTCACAAGGAAACACAAAAATACTTAGAGTAAAAAAACTGCAAGTAACTAGGCCCACTGACAGGAGTTCGAGGCCAACATGGCAAAACCCTGTATTGACTAAAAATACAAAAAAAATTAGCTGAATTAGCTACTGAACCTGGTGGGGAGTGGGGTATGGTGCAGAGGTTGCAGTGAGCCAAGGTAGCACCGCTGCACTCCAGCCTGGGCAACTGAGCAACACCTCACCTCAAAAAAAAAAAAAAGAAAAAAAGCAAGGCACAGTGGCTCACACCTGTAATCCCAGCACTTTGGGAGGCAGAGGTCGGTGGATCACTTGAGGTCAGGAGTTCGAGACCAGCCTGGCCAATATGGTGAAACCCCGTCTCTATTAAAAATACAAAAATAAGCTGAACATGGTGGCAACAGGCACTTGTGATCCCAGGTACTGGGAAGGTTGAGGCAGAAGAATCACTTGAACCTGGGAGGCGGAAATTGCAGTGAGCTGAGATCAAGACACTGCACTCCAGCCTGGACTTCGTCTCAAGAGAAAAAAAAAGAAAATTTCAGAGTGTAGCTAAAAAGATAAAACAAGAAAAAGAAAGATAGCTTTTATCAGCATCATAAGACAGGGCGGAAACAAATACATAAAATCGTTTTCAGATTCAAGCACTCATCTCTGAATGATGTATTTGTCAACAGCCAAAATACTATGACTAATTTGGACATGGTTTCTATTAAAATACAGTAACTCATATTCATAATATAACACACAAAACTCTCAGCAATACTAAGTGTGTAATGAAACTATACTTTAGGAATCTTATTTCGAAGGTATTAGTTCAGTGTTGAACAGAAAAAATATTTTTTTGAGATGGATTCCACCTCACTCTGTTGCCCAGGCTGGAGTGTAGTGGCACGATCTTGGTTTACTGTAACCTCTGCTTCCTGGGCTGAAGCCATCTTCCCACCTCAGTCTCTTGAGTAGCTGGGACTCACAAATGCATGTCACTATGCTAGCTAATTACTTTTTTTTTTGCAGATGGAGTTTCACCATGTTGCCCAGGTTGGTTGAACTCCTGAGCTCAAGCAATCCACCCGCCTCGACCTCCCAGAGTGCTGGGATTAAAGGCGTGAGTGTGGTCCAGAAAATATTAAGAAATTCAATATTCACTATAATCTTTTGGCTTTTCTAATAAGTAGAAATGGAAGAAATCCTCAAGTCACTGAGGTAAGCCTAGAAAATATGTGATGAGAAACAATGTTGTAATACAGAGACTTTAAAAAGTTCTTTCAAAACTATTCATTTAAAACTGGAAGAGCAGCTGGGCACCGTGGCTCATGCCTGTAATCCTAGCACTTTGGGAGGCCGAGGCAGGTAGATCACCTGAGGTCAGGAGTTCAACACCAGCCTAGCCAACTGGTGAAACCTCGTCTCTACAAAAAATAGAAAAATTACCCGGTTGTGGTGGCAGGTGCCTATAATCCCAACTACTCGGGAGGTTGAATCAGGAGAATATCTTGAACCCAGGGGAATTGGGGAAGAGGGGGCGCAGCGGTTGCAATAAGCTGAGATCATGCCACTTCACTCCAGCCTGAGCAAAAGAGTGAAACTCCATCTCAAAAACAAACAAACAAAAAAAAACAGAAAGAAAATGAAACTTGAAGAGCTACCTCATTCTTCTCTGTGACTTCATTTTAGTCAAAGAATGTTTGGGAAGAAAAAAATATATTCAAAAGTAGTTAATGAAAAAATCTGAATGGCCCCTAAATCTCAAACCCATAATGTGGAAGCCATTTCTAGAATTCTGAGTTACATACCTTACACCATCGTACAATGATGCCTCCAGGTTTCTCTATTAGTTCTTCAATCTGTACTGGTGGGCGAGATGCTACTGTTCCATGCTTAAAAATGTGGTCTTTCACTATGTTAAGAATTGAGTCATCCAACTGAGCAGATAAACAAGGCACATCAACCAGTAAAGGTACTTCTGGCAAGCTGAGGAAACAAAGTTCATGTGTTATGAGACCTCTAACTGATGGTTAAAAAATACAAGAAATATTTTAGGGCAGTCACATGCTTGAAAGATCCTGAAGCCCCCAGTAAGTAATTCTCATGGCAGTAGGGGATGTGCAAGATGTTACACAAAGATTCTCTTTTCAAATAAATATAAGCAAGACAAAATTGGTAGGACCTCAACTGTCCAGTTTATGCCAAAAGATCTGGATTATTGGAATATGACTCAGTTTCAACAATGCATTGAGAATTTCTAAAATTTTATAATTCTTTTATACGTTGGATTGAAAAAAATCTGAACCACACTAAAGTACCAAAGATTATAATCACAACTATTTCATATTAGTAACAGTGGTAAAGGGCAGTGAAACCACCACCCCCACTTTTTTTTTTAACAGTCTCACTGATATGGTATGATCTCGGCTCACTGAAACCTCCACCTCCCAGATTCAAGCGATTCTCCTGCCTCAGCCTCCCGAGTAGTTGGGACTACAGGCACATGCTACCACACCTGGATCATTTTTTATTTTGTTTCATATTTATTTTGAGATGAAGTCTTGCTCTGTTGCCCAGGCTGGAGTGCAGTGGTGCAATCTTGACTCACTGCAACCTCCACCTCCTGGATTCAAGCGATTCTCCTGTCTCAGTCTCCCCAGTAGCTGGATGACAGACATGCACCACCATGCCTGCTTAATTCTTTTTTCTTTTGAGACAGTCTCGCTCTGTCACCAGGCGCCAGGCTGGAGTACAGTGGCACAATCTTGGCTCATTGCAATCTCTGCCTCCTGGGTTCAAGCAATTCTCCTGCCTCAGCCTCCCGAGTATCTGGGACTACAGGCACGTGCCACCATGCCCAGCTAATTTTTGTATCTTTTAGTAGAGACGGGGTTTCACCATGTTGGCCAGGATGGTCTTGATCTCTTGACCTCTTGATCTGCCCGCCTCGGCCTCCCAAAGTGCTGGGATTACAGGCATGAGCCACCGTGCCCGGCCTTTTTTTCTTTTTGAGATGGAGTCTCACTCTGTCACCTACCTACTATGCTTGGCCTGAAAAACCTTGAAATACATATTCTCTTATCTCCTTTAATCAGAATCTCGAACAGAGGGAGGAAAAAAGCAGACATAGTTTAAATGCTTAAAAGTAAGTCCAAAAGGCACAAACTCTTTTACCTGTCCAACTGAATGTGCGAGGCCTTTTTGGTAAAGCTCCACAGTTTCTCATTCTCTTCTCCTACACCATCAAGCATGGCGATCTCACCTACAATCAAGAATAAGAGAACTAGTACAGTGAAAATGATCGAATATAAAGTAATCAACATAGCTGGTGGCTCACACCTGTAATCCCAGCACTTTGGGATGCTGAGGTGGGCGGATCATGAGGTCAGGAGATTGAGACCATCCTGGCCAACAGAGTGAAACCCCATCTCTACTAACATACAAAAAATTAACCAGGCATGGTGGCTCGCGCCTGTAGTCCCAACTACTCAGGATGCTGAGGCATGGGAATCGCTTGAACCTGGGAGGTGGAGGTTGCAGTGAGCCAAGATCATGCTACCAGTCTGGCGACAGAGCAAGATTCCATCTCAAAAAAACACAACCAACCAAAAAAGAATCAATACAACTCATGTCTGGGTGGGTCTCTAGTGTTCTTAGAAATAGTTCTTAAGTGATGCCACAGTCAAATTCCCAAAAAGTTAAAGTAGAAACTATTTTAGAAGGGACTCTAAGATCAAATCCAAGAGGAAAAGGGATACATAGTGGCAATGTTTTGCTAGAGATGAAAAATCTATCTGCTCTATATGAGGAAATCAACCTATTTTAGGCAAAGCAGAAGGCCCAGGGATTTCTTCCCATCTCTCCTACGGAATCATTATGAACTTTAATAGAGCCATTACAAAATACTGCCCTGAGAGGAGCAATAGGGGATAAAGTGTTTTTGTTTTTTTGAGACTGGGTTTCATTCTGTCACCCAGGTTGGAGTGCAGTGGTAAGAACTCACTGTAGCCTTGAACTCCCAGGCTCAAGCAATCCTCCCACCTCAACCTCCCAAGTAGCTGTGACCACAGGTGCATGCCACCATGCCCAGCTATTTTTTATTTTTGGAAGAGACGAGGTCTCACTATGTTGCCCAGGCTGGGCATAGGGCTTGCAAAGCTAAATGATGCAGCTATGTTTTCCTAAAAGAGTATCATACATCAGATTATAAATGATTCAACAGAACACTAAAATGTTATATCGAGGCATATGGAAATGACCAACTTCTATGTTCTTCCACAGCCCTGAAGAACACTGCCAGAACTCTATCCCATGTGAATGTGCCCTGTAGTTACTCAAGTTTGAGACCATATGACCTTCTCCTTCACCAAAAGAAAAACAGAGACATGGCCAGGCACTGTGGCTCATGCCTGTTATCTCGGCACTTTGGCAGGCTGAGGCGGGCAAATCACCAGAGGCCAGGAGTTCAAGACCAGCTTGGTCAACATGGTGAAACCCTATCTCTATTAAAAATACAAAAATTAAGGCTGGGCGCGGTGGCTCATGCCTGTAATCCCAGCACTTTGGGAGGCCGAGGTGGGTGAATCACGAGGTCAAGAGATCGAGTTCATCCTGGTCAACATGGTGAAACCCCGTCTCTACTAAAAATACAAAAAAATTAGCTGGGCATGGTGACGCATGCCTGTAATCCCAGCTACTCAGAAGGCTGAGGCAGGAGAACTGCCTGAACCCAGGAGGCGGAGGTTGTGGTGAGCCAAGATTGTGCCATTGCACTCTAGCCTGGGTAACATGAGCGAAACTCCATCTCAAAAAAAAAAAATACAAAAATTAGCTGGGCATGGTGGCATGCACCTGTCATCCCAGCCAGTAAGGGAGGCTCAGGCATGAGAATCGCTTGAACTCGGGAGGCAGAGGTTGCAGTAAGCTAAGATCGCACCACTGTACTCCAGCCTGCGCAATAGTGTGAAACTCTGCCTCAAAATCAAATAAATAAATAAAATCCCCCAAATTCCATAAATAAGTTTTTGTCCTTTGGGAGAGGAGGAAAGAGTCTGACATTAAAAATATTCCTGAAGTTTCCTTCTGCTGCTATGTATAATAATTTTTTTTAAATTAAAAAACATAAAATAGGCCAGTATGGTGACTCACGCCTGTAATCCCAACACTTTGGGAGACTGAAGTGAGTGGATCGCTTGAGGTGAGGAGTTTGAGACCAGTCTGGTCAACATTGTGAAACACTGTTTCTACTAAAAATACAAAAAATTAGCTTGGCATGGTCGTGGATGCCTATAATCCTAGATACTCAGGAGGCTGAGGCAGGAGGCTCGCCTGAGCCCGGGAATCAGAGGTTGCAGTGAGCTGAGAGCAAGCCACTGCACTCTAGCCCAGGCAACACTGTGAGACTCTCAAAACAAAACAAAAAACCCATAAAATTTTGGACATATAAAAATATTCAAGTATTAAATGCTATAACAATCACACATGTGTGTCAAATAATTTCTTTTTGAGACAAGAGTCTCACTCTGCCACCCAAGCCGGAATGTGATGCATAATCACAGCTCACTGCAGCCTCAAACTCCTGGGTTCAGGGGATCCTCCTGCCTCAGCTTCCCAAATAGCAAGGACTTCAGGAATGTGCCACTAGGCCCAGCCAGGATTTATCTTCTAAAATAAAAACAAATGATCAGTCCTAAGGGTGATGAGTGTATATTCCTTGTCTGTGCTGCACTGCTTCTGGGTTTGTTTCCAAATGCAAAGGCACCAAGGAAAGACATTCCGTGGTACTGCTAGAAATATTTTCTCAAAAGCACTGTTATGGTCAGTGGTAAATAAACACTTCTCACTGAAGATAAGACAAAAACATAACTAGCATGTAAAGATAATACTAGTACTATACTATAAGTGGGGCCAAAAGAAGATGAACTTCTAGGTGGAGTGAGCCTTGTGAGTCATCCACACTTTTTCCCACGGCACTCTCAGGACTCATTCTGCAGAAGGCATGGAATTCAGTCTCCTTTCCTGCTCCTTCCTCAAATGACCTTTAAATGTTGGTGCCCCTTACTGTTCTAATCTCTTTCATCTGCTCTTCTCACGTTACATGGTGTCCCTTGATGATTTCCTTATTCTGATGGATTGGAAATTTTATATATATATATATATATATATATATATATATATATATATGCCATTAACTACCATACTGACATCTCCTGGTATGATTTGTCTCCTAAGAATCATAGCCATATTTCCATCATAAGTACCTCAAGGCCGGGTGTGGTGGCTCATGCCTGTAATCCCAGGACTTTGGGAGGCCAAGGTGGGTGGATCATGAGGTCGGGAGATTGAGACCATCCTGGCCAACATGGTGAAACCCCATCTCTACTAAAATACAACAAAAAATTAGCTGGGCGTGGTGGTGGGCACCTGTGGTCCCAGCACTCCGGAGGCTGAGGCAGGGGAATCACTTGAACTCAGGAGGTGGAGGTTGCAGTGAGCCAAGATTGCGCCACTGCACTCCAATGCACTCCAGCCTGGGGACAGAGCAAGACTCCATCTCAAAAAAAACACCTCAAACTCACCATGCCCAAGCCAAATGCCTGACTATGTACTAAAGCCCTCCCCTCCTCCTTCATTTCCTGTGTCAAAAAGTAAAACACAGCACTGCCATTTACTCAGAATCCAAAAGCAAGCTGATTTTGGTCATCACAAATCCTTCCCTTTCCACTCCATCACATATGTAGGTAATCATCTACAGACAAGTCACGCTCAGTAGAATCATCAAAAATTCTATTTCTGCAGGAAAAATAAAGTCTCTATCTTGTTTTTTTGTTTTTTGAGTTTGGAGTCTTGCTTTGTCAACCAGGGTAGAATGCAGTGGCACAATCTCAGCTCACTGCAACCTCCACCTTCCAGGTTCAAGAGATTCTCCTCCCTCAGCCTCCCAAGTAGCTGGGACTACAGGCGTATGCCACCACGCCCAGCTAATTTTTGTATTTTTAGTAGAGACGAAGTTTTGCCATATTGGCCAGACTTGTCTTGAACTCCTGACCTCAGGTGACCCACCAGCCTTAGCCTCCCAAACTGCTGGAATTATAGGTGTAAGCCACTGCGCCTGGCCTTTTTGTTTTTAAGAGACAGGGTCTTGTGCTATTGCCCAGGCTGGAGTGCAGTGGTGCAATCATAGCTCAAGGCTCTTCTCACATCAGCATCCTGAGCAGTTGGGACTATAGGTGTGTGCCACCATACCTGGCTAATTAAAAAAAAAAAAAAAAAAGTTTGTAGAGACGAGGATCTCACTATGTTGCCCAGGCTGGTCTTGAACTCCTCACCTCAAATGATCTTCCTCTCCTGTCTAGCCTCCTGGAGTGCTCGGATTACAGATGTAAGTCATTGTGCCTGGCCCAAAATCTCTTAAAACCAGTCCTGCCTCATCTTTATCAGCCATTGCCTTTACCATTCCCACCTAGATTACTCTCTAATAACTTTTTTTGAGACTGAGTTAAAAAAAAAAAAGTTTTTTTGAGATTGCTCCTGGGCTCAAGCAATCCACCCACCATGACCTCCCAAAGTACTGGAATTACAAGCATGAACCACTGTGTCCGGTTTCTAATAACTTTTTTTTTTTTTTTGAGACGAAGTCTCGCTCTGTCACCCAGACTGGAGTACAGTGGTGCAATGGTGGCTCACTGCAATCTCTGTCTCCCAGGTTCAAGCGATTCTCCTGCCTCAGCCTCCTGAGTAACTGGAATTACAAGTGCCCACCACCACACCTGGGTAACTTTTATATTTTTAGTAGAGATGAGGTTTTACCATGTTGGCCAGACTGGTCTCAAACTCTTGACATCAAGTGATCCTCATGTCCTGACATCCCAAAGTGCTGGGATTACAGGCCTGTGCTATCCCACCCAACCTTGGCCTCTAGCAACTTTTTAATCAGTCTCTTTTCCCTCTAGTCTTAAAATCTCTGATACAGTCTCCAAAACATAGGCAGGGTCATTTTTGTAAAATGCATATCTGATCATGTCACTCTGCTGTTTAAAATGCTTCAAATGATCCTTGAATATGCCATTCACTCCATTTATGATGATATTACTTCTGCTTGGAATCATGCTGTTACCTCCTCTTTTTCCTATGTCTGTTTGATGAATTGCTTCAAGCCTCTGTGGAACTCTTCTTACAGAAAGCTATCCTACACTTTTCCAGACAAAGTTAAGTACTTCCTCCTCTATGCTCCAATAAGGTCTTAGATCTCTCTTATCATGTATTTCTCTCTCATTGGGCTCTGAATCCCAAAGAAAATAACTCTTGCCTATTTTATTCTTTTATTGATTGACTGATTGACAGTCTCACTCTGTCACCAGGCTGGAGTGCAGTGGCACAATTTTGGCTCACTGCAACCTCTGCCTCCTGGGTTCAAGCGATCCTCCCAAGTAGCTGGAACTACAGGCGTGCACCACCACACCCAGCTAATTTTTGTATTTTTAGTGAGACGGGGTTTCACCATGTTGGCCAGTATGGTCTTGATCCCTTAACCTCATGATCCACCTGCCTCAGCCTCCCAAAGTGTTGGGATTACAGGTGTAAGCCACTGTACCCAGCCTATTTATTTATTTATTTATTTGTTTTTAGATGGAGTCTCACTCTGTTGCCCAGGCTAGAGTGCACTGGTGCAATCTCGGCTCACTGCAACCTCTGTCTCCTGGATCCAAGCAATTTTCCTGCCTCAGCCTCCCAAGTAGCTGGGACTACAGACACATGCCACCATGCCCAGCTAATTTTTTGTATTTTTAGTAGAGATGGGGTTTTACCATGTTAGCCAGGATGGTCTTGATCTCCTGACCTCATGATCCATCTGCCTCGGCCTTCCAAAGTACTGGGATTACAGGCGTGAGCCACCGTACCCGCCCTCTTATTCTTATATTTTTTGAGACAGGGTCTCACTTTTTCACCCAGGCTGGAGTACAGTGGTGCAATCATGGCCCATTGCCACATCAATCTCCCGGCCTTCAGGGATCCTCAAACCTTGACCTTCTAATTAATTGAGACTCCAGGTGCATGCCACCATGACCAGAATTTTTTTTTTTTTTTTTTGTAGAGACAGGCTGTTGCCCAGGCTGGTCTCGAACTCCTGACCTCAAGTGATCCACCTGCTTCAGCCTCCCAAAGTGGTGGTATTACAGGCGTGAGCCACTGCAGCAGCTGACTCCCTTGTTTATGTTATGTACCTGACAAAGACCTATATTGAAAGAAGGCGGGAAGACATAAAGAAAGGAAGGCAGCAGGACATGACTCATGGAAATAATTGGCTAAAGACAGGAGTAAACACTAATCACATTTTTTTAACTTTCTAAATAGAACAATGGAGACTATAATTGTGGTGGCTCTTGCCTGTAATCCCAGCACTTTGGGAGGCCAAGGTGGGAAGACTGTTTGAGAACAGCCCGGGCAACATGGTGAAACCCTGTCTCTAACAAAAATATAAAAATAAGCCGGGCATGGTGGCACATACCTGTAATCCTAGCTATTTGGTAGGCTAAGGTGGCAGGATCACCTGAGCCAGTGAGGTCAAGACTGCATGCAGGGGGCCCTGAGAGTGCTACTACACTCCAGCCTGGGCAACAGAGCAAGAGCAAAACCCCTGTATCCACAAAAAAAAAAAATATATATATATATATATATATATATATATATATATATATACATAATTCAATTGTTTGTAACACAGAGGATAAATGCTTGAGAGGATGGATACCCCATTTTCCATGATGTGATTATTACATGCTGCATGCTTGTATCAAAACATCTCACTGTGCTCCATATCATTTATTCTTTCTTTCTTTCTTTATTTATTTTGAGGTGGAGTTTCACTGTTGTTACCCAGACTGGAGTGCAATGGCATGATCTCGGCTCACTGTAACCTCTGCCTTCTGGGTTCAAGCAATTCTCCTGCCTCAGCCTCCCAAGTAGCTGGGACTACAGGCATGCACCACCATGCCCAGCTAATTTTTGTATTTTTAGTAGAGACAGGGTTTCACCTTGTTGACCAGGATGGTCTCGATCTCTTGACTTTGTGATTCACCCACCTCAGCCTCCCAAAGTGCTGGGATTATAGGTGTGAGCTACCAAGCCCGGCCATATTCTGTATTGTTTTATAACACTTCAATTGCACTTGCCATGGGGATACCTAACTGTATATCTGTCATCCTATATTACAAACTGTCTCTAGGTAAGAACATTCTAAGAACCCCATGGCTGGCAAGAAGCCTGCTATCCTGAGAAATCAGCAAAGTGTCAATCTGAACAAACCTTTTTTTTTTTTTGAGACGGAGTTTTGCTCGTTACCCAGACTGGAGTGCAATGGCGCGATCTCGGCTCACGGCAACCTCCGCCTCCTGGGTTCAGGCAATTCTCCTGCCTCAGCCTCCCAAGTAGCTGGGATTACAGGCACGCACCACCATGCCCAGCTAATTTTTTGTATTTTTAGTAGAGACAGGGTTTCACCTTGTTGACCAGGATATGGTCTCGATCTCTTGACCTCGTGATCCACCCATCTCGGCCTCCCAAAGTGCTGGGATTACAGGCTTGAGCCACCGCACCCAGCCACAAACCATCTTTAACATGTGATATGGTTTGGCTCTGTGTTCCCACCCAAATCACATCTCAAATTGTACTCCCGTAATTCCCATGTGTTGTGGGAGGGACTCAGTGGGAAATAACCAAATCATGGGGTAGTTTCTCCCATATTGCTCTCAGTAGTGAATAAGTCTCATAAAATCTAATGGTATTTTAAGGGGAAACCCCTTTTGCTTGGCTCTTATTTTCTTCTCTTGTCTGCCACCAAGTAAGATGTGCCTTTCACCTTCTGCCATGATTGTGAGGCCTCCCCAGCCATGTGGAACTGTAAGTCCATTAAACCTCTTTCTTTTGTAAATTGCCCAATCTTGGGTATGTCTTTATCAGCAGTAAAAATGAACTAATACAACAGGCTCCCTGGTCTCCCACCTTCTCGGACTAAGTCTTCTGCAGTGGTGACTCCATGTTCTATGAGCTTCTGGCAGTCATCTAGTGGTTTAATGGTCTCCTGTTCAATGGTGTCCACCTCTTGCAAAAGGGTCACCAATCGCTCATCCAGGAGCTTCCCAAGGGTTCCCTTTAAATCATTAAAATGCTGTTTGAGAACATCCCTTGTCTGTGATGCACTCTCTTTGATCTAAAAAGAAATAACAAAATACTCAAAATCAGAATCTCTAAAAAAGGCTAATCCATAGGGATAATTCTCAGTAATCTAAAAGCACTGCATAACTATCATCTTCAATTTAGTAAAAAAAAAAAAAAATTAACTGAAATTATATAAATTTAAGGTGTGATGTTTTGATATATATATACATAGCGAACTGTTATTATAGTCAATCTAATTAACATATCTGTCTCTTCACATGGTTACCTTTGTGTGTGGTGAGAACACTTAAGATCTCTCCTAACACATTCCAAGTATACACTACAGTATTAGTAACTATTGTCCCCATCCTGTACTTGAGATCTCTAGAATTTACTCCACTTAATAACTGAAACTTTGTACCCTTTGGCCAACATCTTCTCATCCCCAACTCCATCCCTGGCAAGCACCATTCTATTTTCTGCTTCTATGATTTTGAGATTTTTTTTTTCTTTTGAGATACGAGTTTTGCTCTTGTTACCCAGGCTAGAGTGCAATGGAGTGATCCTGGCCCACTGCAACCTCCGCCTCCTGGGTTCAGGCAATTCTCCTGCCTCAGCCTCCCGAGTAGCTGGGACTACAGGAGTGCGCCACCATGTCCAGCTATTTCTTTTGTATTTTTAGTAGAGATGGGGTTTCACCACGTTGACCAGGGTGATCTTGATCTCTTGACCTCGTGATCCACCCGCCTCAGCCTCCCAAAGTGCTGGGATTATAGGCATGAGCCACCGTGCCTGGCCGATTTCGACCTTTTTTAGATGCTACATATAAATGAGCTCATGCAGTATTTTTTTTATTTCTGTATCTGGCTTATTTCACTTAGAGTAATGTCCTTCAGGTTCATCTATGCTGTCACAAATGACAGAATTTCCTTCTCTTTTATGGTTGAATACTATTCCATTGTATACATACATCTTTCATTCGTTGATAAACCAAATGTGATTCATTTGCACAAACAGGCAGGAGTACACAGAGTTGGCCTTCAAGTCAGATAGAATAAGCCAAATCTTGGTTTCATCATTCACAAACTATGTCAATTTGGTTAAGTTCATTAAGTATTTCATGCCTCAATTTCCTTATTTGTCAAATGAGCATTATAATAGTTACTTCGGCCAGGCACGGTGCCTCACTCCTATAATCCAGCACTTTGGGAGGCTGAGGTTGGCAGATCACTTGAGGTCAGGAGTTCGAGACCAGCCTGGCCAACATGGGGAAATCCCATCTCTACTAAAAATACAAAAATTAGATGGACATGGTAGGGTGGGCCTGTAATCCCAGCTACTTGGGAGGCTGAGACATGAGAATTGCTTGAAACCGGGAGATGGAGGTTGCAGTGAGCCGAGATTGCACCACTGCAATCCAGTTCAGCAACAGAGTGAGACTCCATCTCAAAAAAAAAAAAAAAAAAAAAAGAAAGAAAGAAATAGGCTGAGTGCAGTGGCTCACGCCTGTAATCCCAGCACTTTGGAAGACTGAGGCGGGTAGATTGCAAGGTCAGGAGATCAAGACCATCTGGGCCAACATGGTGGAACCCTGTCTCTACTAAAAATACAAAAAAATTAGCTGCGCGTGGTGGCACATACCTGTAGTCCCAGCTACTTGGGAGGCTGAGACAGGAGAAATGCTTGAACCCAGGAGGCCGAGATTGCAGTGAGCCGAGATCATGCCACTGTCCTACAGCCTGGGCAACAGTGCAAGACTCCGTTTCAATTAAAAAAAAAAAAAAAGGGGGGGCCGGGCGCAGTGGCTCACACCTATAATCCCAGCACCTTGGGCAGCCAAGGCGGGTGGATCACGAGGTCAAGAGATTGAGACCATCCTGGTCAACAAGGTGTAACCCCATCTCTACTAAAAATACAAAAATTAGCTGGGCATGATGGTGCGTGCCTGTAGTCCCAGCTACTTGGGAGGCTGAGGCAGGAGAATTGCTTGAACCCAGAAGATGGAGGTTGTGGTGAGCCGAGATCGTGCCATTGCACTCCAGTCTAGGTAACAACAGCAAAACTCCGTCTCAAAAAAAAAAAAAAAAAAAAGAAAGAAATAATAGTTACTCCATGGAGAGTTGCTGTGAGGATAAGTTAAAATAATCTATGTACTACAGTGGGTAAAATAAATGGCACATTGTTGTACTAGATAAATAAATGGTATAAATTATTATCTGTACAAAGCAGTTCTTGAAAATTGTATGTTTCAATACTAAAAATTGTTTAATTATGAGAGGATTAAAATACATTTTACTAAAAAACAGCAAAGAAATGGTAGATTAGAAAGCCATGGTCAGGGCAAGGCAAGGTAGCTCACTCCTGTAATCCCAGCACTTTGGGAAGCCAAGGCAGGTAGATCACCTGAGGTCAGGTGTTCAAGACCAGCCTGGCTAATGTGGTGAAACCCCATCTCCACTAAAAATGCAAAAATTAGCTAGGTGTGGTGGCGGGCGCCAGTAAATCCCAGCTACTCAGGAGGCTGAGGTAGAATTGCTTGAACCCTGGAGATGGAGGTTGCAGTGAACCGAGATCGTGCCACTGCACTCCAGCCTTGGTGAAAAACACTCTATCTCAAGAAAAAAAAAAAAGCCATGGTCAGGCACAGTGGCTCACACATATGATCCCTGTACTTTGAGAGGCTGAGGCAGGAAGATCACTTGAACCCAGGAGTTTGAGACTAGCCTGGGCAACATGGAGAAACCCTGTCTCTATAAATAAGACAAAAATTAGCCAGGCATGGTGGCACATACCTGTAGTCCCAGCTACTTAGGAGGCTGAGGTGGGAGGATCACCTGAACCCAGGGGGTCGAGGCTGTAGTAATCTGTGACTGCACCACTGCACTCTATCTTGGATGACACAGTGAGACCCTGTCTCTAAATAAATAAAAATAAAAAGCCACAAAAAACAACTTACCTCATGGATAAAATGCCCTGATTATGCTAAAAGAAAACCAAAAATTTATTTAAAATCCAAAGAGGTTTGTAGGAGGCAGAGCTGGAACAATGACTTAATCCTTTTTGAATCATAGTACTCTTTGTGAATCTAAATGAGAGGTTTATAAAGACTCTTCCTTTCAAAGTTATTGAAAGAGAAGAAAAAACAAAGCCTCTTCTCCCCAAAATGAATGATCTATACCCTAAAAAATTATTCCATTTCCAAAGTTTACAAATTCCCTCAGAGCCAAACCATGGCTTGCCTGGAGCAGTAATTACAAAACTTGGTTTGCAGAAGGAGCATCTAGGCTACTTGTTATAATCAGACTGCAGAGGTTCATCCCAAACCTACTGAACCAGAAACTGACAGGAGGGGCTAAAGGACTGCATGGATGGCGTTCTTATTTTTTCCAAGCACACCTGTAATTCTGCAGCCCACACTTTGAGAAACATTGCCCTAAGTCTACAGATCTCAGATTAAGAACCCATATTCTAGGAGATATGACAGTGAGCCACTGCACCTGATCCAGATTTTTATTTTAAAGACTGCAGATAACAGGCCAGGCATGGTGGTTCATGCCTGTATTCCCAGCATTTTGGGAGGCCCAGATGGGAGGATCACCACTACACCCTGACCTGGGCGACAAAGCAAGGCCCTCTCTCAAAAAACAATTCAGATAACATACAATACATTTTCTCTCACTTAATGGGAAAATTCTAACTACAAGCCACTCTGTTAAGTTAAAGCAAAAACATACTTTATTTTCCAGATATTATCATCTTAATTTCATAGGACATATTGTTTACTACCATAACCCTTTTGTTAACTTTCTCTTAGCAAGAAAGTTTAAAGTGTAAAAAAAATCCACCAAGAAAGAACATATAAAAATATGAATAATAGATATTTCAATACTTAATAGATAAATTTACAAGCTTTATATTTATTCTCTAAATTCTCTCTAAATTTAAAAAGCAGAGTACAATATTGTTTTCCAGCAATGTTCATGACCATGTAAAAAGAAAAAATGCCCATGGCCAAGGACTACAACAGAAAAAGAGCAGTCTGATTTACTGGGTGGGCAGATCATAGAAACAATTTTCTCTCCTTTTTATTTTTTTTGAGATGGAGTTTCACTCTTGTCCCCCAGGCTGGAGTACAGTGGCGCGATCTCAGCTTACTGCAACCTCTGCATCCTGGGTTCAAGAGATTCTCCTGCCTCAGCCTCCTGAGTAGCTGGGATTACAGGCACGCACCACCACACCCGGCAATTTTTTGTATTTTTAGTAAAGACAGGATTTCACCACGTTGGCCAGGCTGGTCTTGAACTCCTGATCTCTGGTGATCCGCCGCCTCAGCCTCCCAAAGTGCTCGGATTACAGGCATGAACCACCTCATCTGGCCCTTTTATCTCCATTTGACATTAATGCAGTTATAGTAATATTTGTACAGTTAGTAAAATTATTTAAATCACAAAGAGAAATTCTAAATTAATTGTTAACTAATTTCCGTAGTTACCAAAGAATTTCTGTGAAATAAATCCAAGTCAAAATTAAAAAAAGAAAGAAAGAGAGGCCATAAACCCAAATTGTACTTGATTCAGCTCACCACTCAACTATAGGTTCTTTGCAAACTGGGCCCTCATCTACATAGAACCTGGCAAACAAATGCTGTTGAGTGAAAATGCAGTAATCACGTTTGCTTCAAAGAACTTTCTAAGAGAACCAGAGAGAAGAGCTTATGATTTTAACACATCCCCTGGGATACTCTTAGAAATTCAAAATCTCAGACCCCACCCAGAACTGCTAAGTCGGCACGTGAATTTTCTTTCTTCTTCCTCTCCCAGAACCTATATTTTTAACAGGACCCTCAGGTGCTTTGTATACACATTACAGATACCAGAATAAATGAAGACCTTATGTCAGAGCGCTGTAACACATTTCGAACAACCAAGAGGAAATTCTGCAGTTGAGCATTATGCTGCCGAGATACTGTCTTGCTCTTTAGCGGATACAGCACACACAGAAAGTGCACTGGTTAGGTAAAGTCAATTTCCTCTTTAGAAAGAATTCAAAAGC